CTTCTTTAGTTTCTGTAACTTACAAACTGCAATTTTAAAAGAAAATCATAGCAACTTTACTTCCAGAATACTTTTTATGAACTGTACTTTCAAAATAAATTCTTTTTTATATATTCTTTTTTTAATTTTAAAAACTATTTTTCATTTTTGTTGAAGGCGACAACTTTTTGTATGCAACAAGAATTTTTTAAAACTTTTCTCCTTCGGTCTCCGTCTGCCTTCCTTAATAGCCTCAAGTAAGCGGCAAAGTCCTCGTACTAAACGAGACTTGGTGACGTCGTCAGTTTTTTTGAAACGTTGTCGTATTTATATCTGTTGCTGTTGCTGACTCCGTTGCCGAGTCTGCTACTGTCATTGTCCAACTATTAACAACAGCAACGTTGACTACCAAATGCACAAGTTAAATGGACTTGCTGGCTGTTGGCTGCTGACTGCTTACCGAAAACACAACACACTTCAGCGCTCCTGCATATGGCAATGGCATCTCCAGACTTGAAAACTTACCCCAACATTGCACGAAGGATTGCAGATCTGAGACGACAGCAACTTGCGAGTAAAATTGTTGAAATTTGTTGAATTTTGTTTATTTAAAAATTGTGCGAACTTCTTTCCTTAACGCGATGCCGTTAGCTGCTGGCTCAACTTAAAAAGTTTACAGTCTTCGAAGGAATACGAAGGATATGAAGTCAGAATACTAGGTGCTGAATGTGGCTACATGCAGTACCGACACTTTTGCAGGCAACTAATGGATACGTTGTCAGCACAGCAACAAATTGTGTCGATAATTGATTATGATAGCCACTGCAAAAGTTGAAAAACTGAAACAAAAAGTTTTCTTCGTCATGCCATGGAAATACAAAGCCAGAAGTACCGAATTCAGGATGAAATAAATTTCATTATAAACTTTAAATGCTACAATGTTCCAAAATGCAAATTAACCAGCGCTCAAAACTTTTTGACTTGCAAGAAATGGTCAATACATGATAATGATAATGATAATGATAATGATAATGATAATGATAATGATAATGATAATGATAATGATAATGATAATGATAATGATAATGATAATGATAATATGATAAATGATAATGAAATGATAATGATAATGATATGATAATGATAATGATAATGATAATGATAATGATAATGATAATGATAATGATAATGATAATGATAATGATAATGATAATGAAATAGAATGATAATGATAATGATAATGATAATGATAATGATAATGATAATGATAATGATAATGATAATGATAATGATAATGATAATGATAATGATAATGAATAATGATAATGATAATGATAATGATAATGATAATGATAATGATAATGATAATGATAATGATAATGATAATGATAATGATAATGATAATGATAATGATAATGATAATGATATGATAATGATAATGAAATGAAATATGATAATGATAATGATAATGATAATGATAATGATAATGAAAATGATAATGATAATGATAATGATAAATGATAATGATAATGATAATGATAATGATAATGATAATGATAATGATAATGATAATGATAATGATAATGATAATGATAATGATAATGATAATGATAATGATAATGATAATGATAATGATAATAATGATAATGATAATGATAATGATAATGATAATGATAATGATAATGATAATGATAATGATAATGATAATGATAATGATAATGATAATGATAATGATAATGATAATGATAATGATAATGATAATGATAATGATAATGATAATGATAATGATAATGTAACGTTTGTATGTATGTTTTATAATATTAGAAAATAATTAAATTTATTTTCAACATCTCTCGAAACTTTTGATACAGTTGGTACCTGGATGATGGTCAATAAAGAAAGATTTGCCCAACGCCTTTCTCTTCTCACTGTGTCTTGCGGTTAAAAAAATTTTCATATGCTTTACATTCTTAGTTCCAATTCAATTACACTGACAAATGTACATTTTTTCCCACTCCATCCATTCCCACTCCATACTTTTTTTTCATAAAGTATACCATTTGTGGTCTTCCCTACTAGGCAGATTCCTAATCAATTACGCATCTTCCCATTACTTCAACAGTCATGCGTCCTCACCCTTAGCCTCACCCATGCGTCCTTGGATTTCGTAACCACAAATACTAAGCTCCTATTATTGTTCCCCCTGATTACTGGAATGAGAATTGCATCCGCTGAATGCGGCTGCAATCTTCCACAACCGTTCTTAGGAGATGCTTTTAGTAGGCTCAAGACTCACACTGCGGTTTTCGATGCTTTCCACCTACTGTAAAAAAAATATAAATTTTCTCAATATTTTAATATTTTTTTAGTATTCCTGCGATTGTACTTAATATTATTTATTTATTAATTAATTTATTTAATTATTATTACGAATGAATTTCAACTCAACTTCAATTATGTGTGTTGAAGCATTATTTTGGTTATTTCAAATTTCCAAGAATTTAATTTTACTTACATTTGCTTCCGTCCTGGTAACTATCCACACACATGAACTCCGAATCCCTGCCTGTATTGGCAAAATACTTGGCAGTGCTGCCACAGGTTATTTACATGTAATGCGATTCCATTAAATCGATTTAAATTTAATTGTTTTAATTAAATTTCAATTTGGTAATTGAATTATTAATTATTACATTTACACATGCGCGCTGAGTCCCCCCACTTACCCCATCCTTACCAAAGGATACACTTTTGTGTAAGTTTGTGAAAAATATATACACACATGTGTAGATATTTTCATTAAAAGGAAGAAAGAATTAAATTAAAGTGCTTCAGGTGTTCTTTAACAAGTGCTTCCATTTATTTTTAATTGGAAACACAAAATGGTTACAACTACAATAGCCGAAAGGAGTATATATTTTTACCTATATCCTTCGTATACACGTGTGAGAACAAATTATGTATATGTATATATATATGTGCAAAAACATATAAGTAAGTTTTAATATATTTAAGTAAGAATAGTGCTTTGAGCAGAAAAAATTATTCTTAATAAGCATGGAACGCTTTGATTGAATTAAGTATCCTTGCACGCTGATATAGGATTTAGGATTATGACAAATAAATATGTATGTAGGTGGTAATTAAAACTCTTATTTACAACAATTATTAAATAAAACAACAACAAATAAACAAACCCCAGGAAATAAGACCGAAAAATCAGTGTCGTTAAAAGTTTATAACTATATTATAAAGCTTCTTCACATTAATATAGACAGTTATAAAACATTTTTCTTAAAATAATACGACTCTACGAAATTGCTGCTAAAAGCTAATTTACTATATCACAATGTGGTAGATATGTCAAGAGGCACCATATAGAATCCTGAACGATTTTTATCAATCGTAATTGATAGGTGTCAAAAAAATTATGGACACCACTTGTTTAAAGTCAGCCTTGAAGAATTATGTTTAACACTTTGCAACTAGTGGAGAAACCATCTCGACAAAGCTATAAAATCTGCTATATACTCACCCATCCATAGTCCACTCTTGTTCCCAAATAATTAACTGCTCATCACTCTTCCTTTACTCAACCATATCCTCACTATGTATTCGAATTACGCTCTATGGTCTCTTATACTTCCTGTGCTTCTGTATGGCACAGAAGCATGAACTTTACCACAGAATGATGAAGCAGCACTGGAAGTATTCGAGAGTAAGTTTTTCGTAAAATCTTTGGCTCTCTACAAGTTAGTGACGACTACCGCATACAAATGAACCACGAGCTGACGAGCTTTATCACGACATCGATATAATTCAGCGAATTAACATTCAGCGGCTTTACTGGCTTGGTTATGTCATGAGAATGGATGAAGATGCTCCAGAGAAAAACGTATTTGAAGAGAAAGAAGACGTAGAGGTAGACCGTGTCTCCGGTGGAGTGTTCACGTTAAGGTAGCGCGAACCGGACTTGTTGTATGAGACTGGAGAAGGCGCGCACGCAGCAGAGGCGACTGAAGAAAATATATACCGACAAAAATTTATGTGAACACAAGTGTTATAGTTGCAATACAGATCTAATAAGGACTTTAATAGATATATAGTTCACATATCTTTTTCTTAATTGATCACTACAAAATATCTTACATGATTCAAACTGTTCTGCAGTATTTGATCCTTCTTACTATAATTCACAATTTCAAAAACCGTGTACACAAAGACCGTATGAATCCATAATATTATAGTGTTTACGACAACTAGAATTATATTTGATTTTTATAGCAAAGAATTTTCTCCAAATTATTGCATTGGAAGTTTTTATTCCATTATGGTTTCTAAAACGGTCTTTAGTGGGTTCATGTATTAAATAGTGAATAAAGCCCGTAGTAATAATATTACGGTCTTCGGTTATAGTGAGGAATGAAATTCTCATAGTGTAGAACTGTTTATTTCAAACAATGAATTTGTATTTATATATTTAATAACCTAAAAATTATGCAGCTATTCCATGATAAATATGTAAAGCTCTCATTTTGAGAAGCTACTAGATGTTCCTTCTGAAATCTATTTTCATATTATCTGCCACAACAACAGATAACACTGACTTAAATATGGAACCTTGAACGACATTAAATATAAAAGCATGAATACATTACTGTAGTTCGGTGAGGACATCGATTGCGCACATTATTCTTCACTGTTTCGAGATAAGAATCCTTGTCCTCCTCAACAATGATAATTGAACCATTAACTAACCAGTTAACATGTATAAATATTTGTAAAAAGTAGTCTTTTCAACACTTAATATATTCCAATAAATGAACATTCCGCATTCCAAAACTAACTGTTGTCTTACAAAATGCATATTTTTAATCAGTAGCCATATAAACCTTTAAAAAACTATAGAAGCTAGTGGGGATTTGTTCGTCATAATATAGTTGATCTAATTAATATTTTCTCACACAAACTCAATTTAAACCATATCGCATAAATAATATTAAACTTTCACTTTTTATATATTATATTCTCTGAAATAAGAACAAGAATTAAATAAACAATTAAGAAATATATTTTATTTACTTTTATTGAAATGTCGCTTAGCAAATGTTTCTGCCACAATCAGTGGAAACACTAAACTTGCCTCAGCATACACTTTCACTGGTGTAGCTTCCTTACGTATTTTGCCCCAAGAAATAGCCTCATCTGGGCGCGCACCACTGTCGCTGCCATCAAACTCTGAAGCAGTATTAATGAACACAGAAAAATCTGCACCATTTCGCATTAAGTTGGCATTGCATATGTGGTGTTTAATTACACCACCACCAATAATAATCATACCAGAGTTAACAGCCTTAACTGCCATTGTATTGAGGCGCCTCAAATCGGAGAGTATATCAACTATCAGGCCAGGTTGTCGAAAGGAATGGAAGTACATCATATCACCCAAACTACCATCAGTCAGTGCTGGACAAAAAACTGGTATCTTATTTTTAGCAGCCCAATAATAAATGGAACTTTCATCATTAATTCGTTCACCCAATCGATTAATAATGCGAGATGGTGACCACACAGTACCACATGTCTGTTGCTCCTTTAGCATTTCATCCAATAAGGGCATAAGCCAATCCTCAAATTTACAGTAATTATCATTTGGCACTAACAAATTACCAATGCGATTGATACCACGTTCGCGCAAGTCTCGACCAGAAAGTTCAAAGGAACCTAAAGTACATTATCAGTTATAAAATTAAGTTAAACTGAAACATTTTTACAACTATTGTGGCATACCTAAATATGTGGGCGCCAAACACTTTATGAAATCTTCTTCGACGCCACCAGCGGTGGTGACAATGCAATCTACCATTTTATGTTCTACCAAAAAGCGTAAAGTCTCTCGCATGCCTGATGAAACTAAATTCGAGGTGTAACCCAAAAAAATTGTACAATTATGCTTCCGCTTTATAAATTCATCCGTTTCATGTACATCCAACTGCTCACTAGTCAACTGTTGCGCTCTACAATCAAGCTAATTTAAATTAAATTCATAAGAGAAATGTATATTAACGCGACAATCACAACACATTACCATTTTGTTAATTTCATTGATAGCCAAACCAAGATTCGTGGCTTGAAAGCCAGTATGAACGTAGGAAGACAAAAGCTTTTCATAGTTAACACCCTGGTTCCAGTCATATCCTTGAATTATCGGTGTTCCTTCAGCAATGCGTTCACTCCGTTTTAATACCGCATCTTTTGCAATTTCAGGTTCCGCAGACATTTTACCAAATATTTACTTTAGTTATTTATATTCAGAGCAACAACACATGTGCTGTTTGTTTTGATTTTTAATTCGAAACATGTTCGAACTCACACAGCTGCTGAGCGTATTTGCAATTTCGAACTGAATATCGAAATTTGATACATTTTTCATTCGAAAATACTTTAGGAGTTTATGGGAGCTCTTCAATTGCATATATGATATATTAATAAATATGTGTCAGTTATGTTAATATGGGCACAATTACGTGTATATATTTATAGCTCAAGGTCAAACAATATGTTAATAATATTTGCTTATATGTTATTTACACATATATAAATAGATGCTGGCTTTTATCGTATCTGCAACCATTTGAAGTGCCTATTTAAATATAAGTTTAAATAATTTTCAATTCATTTTACTTTCATCATATACTGACACGTAAACATTTGCATTAATTACTAACAAATTACTAATTAATTAATAACTCATTTACTCTGACGGATTTCACAGCCGTAATTTAAGTCTCAAAACTGATTTAAATATGAATTTAAACTTAATAGCACATTCAGACTATCTCATTCAAGCAGTTTCGCTCATTATAGCCATTAATGAGGATGATTTACTATACAAAGTGCAATCAGCTCATTTTAGGCGAAAAATGTCAAATGCAACCATTAAAAATGAATTTTCCACAAAGGAAATTACTATATATGAATCATATGTTTTACATGTAAAGTATAAATAAACAAACAACAGCTAAGCTGTGAACAAAGCCACTGAGGAAGTAAGTATTTAATAAAATCTTTGTTTTTATTAATTTAATATATAATTAATATATAAAGTGTATATAAATAATTTAATATATGATTTACATATTTAATTTTTTCGTGTGATATATTATTAAGTGAAGTTTATAAAAGTTCTATCAGCTGAATAAATGAGCTCAACACAATGTGAATGTTCACTCATTAATATAAATGAGCAAGTGCATAAATGAAACAGTGTGAATGTACTATAAGTTATAACTGTGAAATTGTCTTTAAATATCCCAAACAAGAACCTGAATAATAAAAATGCCTCGATCACAATTATATGATGAACTCAAAAATCATAATAATATGTCAAAAAATCTAATAAAGTTCATGTTGACAATTTCGGCAGTTGTTTCATATATTCAATTTCTTTCGGTGACTGTCGTCGTATATACTACACCAAGTGAAATGTTAGTAGAATATCTATAAATGCAGTTTCAGACTAGCAAATTATCCATATATTCTCTTCAATTAAGAGAATGCTACCACGTAACTATCAAATTCACTATTTTTTATCATTTTAATTTTAATATGTATTCTATCAAAAAATGTGACATTTTACAAGTTTTTATTAAGATATATCAATAATTGTTATTAAATAAGAAACAAAAATAGTGCGCATTTAGATATGAACATAAGAATTTTGCCTAAGCCTGGCCAGTATAAACACCGAGTTATTAGCAGCCACGCATGTAAGTGATGATAAGCAAGGTTAATATGCTAGCAAATCACAATTATAAACAAAATTATAAAAAAAACCTGAGGACATTAAAAAATAAAAATATATAAATTGTTGAAATTAGGTTATAAAATTTATACATTATTTAATTTTTAACAATTTTTTTAAATATTATTTAATTCAAATATTGAGATATTACCATACCTTTTTGAATTTTTTTGTATTTATAAATTAAGTTCCTGTAGTGTAAACACATGCACAATTTCATTTTGCAAATTAAAAAATAATATCATTTGTACTTTCATCACTGCTGCTGTTATTATTGTTGTTGTTACTGATATTTTTTATTATTTATTAATTTTAGTTCTTATTTGTATTGTTTTTGTTTTTATTTATTAACAGTTTGTGGTAGTATTCTTTTTTTTTTAAACATTCAAACATAACCACTCATCAACTTAATTATTTCATATTAAATAATGTATATTTTGTTATTGAATTGAATGTTTTTTTAACCAAGTATTCATTTTATTTTTTTTACTATTATTTTACTATCGTCATATAAAAAATTTATTATAAATTGAAATAAAACAAATTAAGTGTTTACTGAAATTAATTCGGAAAAAATTCTGGCTGTACTACTACCTTAGGTGCAACCCTGGGTACCTGGAGCCCAAAAAAATTATTTGTCAATTTGTTATTCATTGCTGTGTAAACTTATTTGGAGCGAGAGGTGTAAAGTCGATATATAAACTTTAAAATTTAAGTTTATATTAGTGAAAAATATTAGAACATATTTGTTCGAAATTCTATGAAATTTCTAAAAAAGAAATTCCATTGTTTTTTTGGTTTTACATTGCAAATAAATCTTGCTCGGTCCGCAACCCCTGAATTCTGATATATTCAGGGTAAAACAAGCAGCAATAAATAGAAACCTTCATCCACCAAACAGGAATAAATATTCGCCACAATGATCAAGTTATTCTCATTGAAAAAGCAGCAAAAAGATGGTGAACAAAATCCACGGGCAGGACAACAGAAAAAAGCTTCAGCAGCACAATTGCGTATACAAAAAGGTAAGTCCAACGGAGCACCCTTTCATGCAGTCAGCTTTGTTTATAACGCACACATAAGCAATCGTCGCGTAAATATTCGCGATTATTGCATTGAAATACATTTGAATCTTTTGCTATCACTTTTATTGCTAAAAATGGTATAAACAAATGAAAAAAGATTGCAAATGCAATTTTTATCGATTTTTTGTTTATGCACGGACAGCAATTCATGGTGTCAAGTTAACATTCAATGGGAATAATTCCCATGAATATCAGCCAATATTCTGTACTGTATTCCCCTAATGTTAAATATATCTTTTACTTTAATTTAAAAAATCTGAGATAATTGGCTGAAATAAAAATCCGTAATGAGACATCTCTTTGGCTTATAATGTTATTATTTGCACTCTGTATGGGTTGAGGAGTTGGATTCTTCACATTCTCTAAGGACCGAACAATACCTGTACGATGGTCATTGTAATGGTACCCACAAAGCACAGTATCACATTGCAACATACATGATTTACAAAAGAGCTATCGAACACGAGTTCTCAAGAAAGGCTAGGTCTATATCCCGGAGCTACTGGTCAACCACTACGACCAAGTTGCGTTTTTCACCCCTATAGGAATTCTAGAAACATCTGCACGTACTTTAACCTAATGTAATATTCTACAAAAGTGTAATGCTGCTTGCGTATATCGATGATTTTGATATCATTGATCTGAACACCCGCGATGACATTGCAACATTTTCCAACTAAGTTGATGTTGATTATTCACATGTGTTTAAATTCTAAACAATTACCGTTATCAAACTAGTCAATGGTTATAGTCGCTTCTAGGTCCACGTCCTGAAACTAATCGTCTATTTCGAACTAAGCGCCGCCGACCACTCCCAACTGAAGTACAACATCAACAACAAACTAACCAAAAACTAAAACTAATCACTTCCAACAGTGACTCAAACAGCAGGATTGCCCTTATGATTTCCAGAAATTATTTTAGTTGTGTTTCAGAGACATTATCTTTAATTCTGTTAAAACACCTAAAAACTATGAACGATTATAAATTCCAAAAAAATATATTTGTTTTTAATTACTGAATTTTGTTAAACTTGTTGTCTTTTCTCCTCAGATATTAATGAATTGAATCTGCCTAAGACATGCGCTGTTGAATTTCCTGAACCAGATGACTTGTTGAATTTCAAACTAATTATTTGTCCGGATGAAGGTTTTTACAAAGGTGGGCGTTTCGTTTTTACTTTCCGCGTTGGACCGAACTACCCGCATGAACCACCAAAAGTAAAATGCGAGACACAAGTGTATCATCCAAATATAGATTTGGAGGGCAATGTTTGTTTGAATATCTTGAGAGAAGACTGGAACCCTGTGCTCACAATAAACTCAATAGTCTACGGGTTACAGTATCTTTTCCTAGTAAGTACAAAATGTTTTTCATTTTAGATATTTATTATATATATTAATGTACTCTTAGGAACCTAACCCGGAGGATCCTTTAAACAAAGAAGCAGCAGATGTTCTACAAACGAATCGCCGCCTCTTCGAATTGAATGTAACAAAGGCAATGCGTGGTAGCTATGTTGGTGACACATATTTCGAGTGCTGCCTGAAGTGATATAGAAAAGCAAACGTCTTTACTCTTAGAAATGGCGTCTATCTATTAGCCTTGATATTGGGTCTTAGTGGCCGCTTTTACATTAATCTAATTTTCAACAATAATTAAACATAAAAAAAAAACACAACGCCAAAATGTAACATCTCCCCATATTTAAAATTTTAATATTTTAATTAACATTTTGAACAATATAAATTTTAGTAGCCACACAACCATTTAACTTTGCGTTCTCTTTTTGTATGCCAGCAAAATGAATTTGTTTGCATTGAACCGAATTACTGAAATACCGACATACCGAAATACAATACTTATATTTATTCATAATAATGTATAAAGAGTAAAGAGATGGAAATTAAGTCGTTGAATCTTGGAAATTAATTTAAATATGATACATATACATATTAAGACAATTGAATCAAATACAAAATTATTTAATTTTCATTTAATTAAATAATATTTATCATAATAGCTTTTACTTAAATTGTGTGTTAATAATCGAATGGCACTACTAGAAGAGAGGGTGGGATGCAGTAATCTGCAGCCCTTTGATTAAAATAAGATGAAAAAAAACATTTTGCTCAGTGTTTACATTTTGTATTTTATTGTTTATGGAATATGCAAAGCATTGCAATTTCTATAATAAATCATAATTTCAAAAATTAATTAATACTCATATTGCCTGTTTAATTTTTGTGCTTTTAAATTACGCCATAAACATAAATCAGACACAGCCGCTTGTCTACCGGTATTAACGCGGAGATCATACAATCTGAAATATAATATTTCCATTACTAATAATTACTAATAGCCGTGTAAAATAGCCAGTAAAAATAATAGTAAAGTACCTTGTAATCAGTCCAACACTTAAATCATCAGTCTTCATAACCTTCAATAAATTCTGTATGAGATTCGCTGGTATTAATTTCAATACAGGACGCACACGTTCTCTTCCACATTCAACCAACAACGAAAGGAATTGATAAACAAAGTATGTTTTTGGAGAAATTTCTTCACTGCTAACGAATTGTTGGAATACTTTGAATATGTGTTGTACACTAGAATTTAATGGCTCTTTAAGGGTGGTCAAATTTTCTTTTAAATTGGCACTCGCATTTAGAAGCAGATGATTATCGTTTATAAAATCATTTGAACAGGAATTATCAGAACCTTCGGTAGCAATTTTACGCATTTTTGGGTTGTTTACCATATCCGTTTCCTCGCTATCATGTGAACGACTACGTTTTTTCGGTGTAATTGCGTTTATTTGACGTGTCTCCAGTGTCGAAATAACGCAGTAGACACAAAGACGTGCCAAAACAAAGGATTGTGGCTCATTTATACTGTCACTAAGGTTACAAATATATAAGTTTATTAACTATTCTATGTAGATATACACTATAAACAAAACTTTTTGATTAACGTACCCCTGACGAGTAAGTATCATTGCTGGTATAACATTTTTAAATAGAGCGTCTGTAATAGATTCAATATCGAGGTGGAAGGTGGCAAATACAATGTCCATAGTTTTCATCATATCCTAAAAAAATAAGAAGAAAAAGTGGTTAATGTGATTTTTTATCATAAGTAATTATGTGACTTATGAAAATATATATCATAAATTCCCAATATATACCCATATATATAAATATATATAATTTAATTGAAACGAACAAAATTGTACGATTTCCTCCATATCCTAACTCCCACGTATTTGTCGTGTAATTTCTTTTATGTTATCTGTTTTTCGAATTCATGCGGGCTAACACAACAACAGCAATCAATGTTAAAAAAAATTGGAATATACCAACTGGGTGGTGCCTACACTAGTGAGACTTTAAACAAAAATCAGGCCAGTGTAACCAGAGTAGACGCAGAATAAAAAGCTCATATTTTATCAGCATGAATTTAGATTTCTTTCTCTTTCAAAACTTTCTTAGAAATGCCCTCTAACACATCTTACACAGTCAACAGTTCTCTATGATTTCAGAAGGGATTGCCTGGAGTCACGTAGTGGTATAAATCCATCTCTTTTGTAGAAGAAATGGCATGTATATTTTTTGAAGGGTCCATTTTCAGGATATTGTACATATTTGTAAATTATATGCGAATATATAAATTATATTCGAGATCCGAATAATTTTCCTCGATCTCAATAGTTCTAATCGTTAAGAACAAATTAATTTTAATATTGCTTTGAGTAACTTGACGATGCTAATGTTTAGATCTAAATTCACTAGTCCATTTACTTAATTTTAATATTAAACTGTAGTTGCTATCAAGATAGTATCTAGGGACAAAGTCTATAATTTTTAATTTAAAAAAATTGAAAATAACTTAATACCCTTTCTTATATGTTTCTAGTAGCAATACTTTTGTGTTAAGTTCTATGCTAAATATTTATTTAAGTGAATCCCTAAGTACTTCACCCATCTTTCTTCAGTATATGTTGGACGGGCACATACTTTTTGATGTTAGCTTTAACTTTCCACATAAAATTTATTGAGAGTATACTAACTTGTACCATTTAAAGTGCTGTCATCTATGTTGATCATCATTCTTAATTAATTTTTGCATATTCAATATAAATATCGTGCATAGTACTTGTCCTATGATACACCCAGGGAGTACTCTTGCACTTATACCGTGAATATATATAAGAGATACTATTTAAATATTGAATATAATATCTTTTATATTTTAATAATATCTTTATCATTCTAGGTAGTACTTTTTATATTTTATATTATTTAAAATTAAGACATATTTTGTATAGGATTAAAATATGTATCATTTAAATTCATAAAGAATAGTAAAAATTTCTGTTTTTGTAGAGCCTCTACATACTAAAAAAACATAGAAAAAACCATGAATAGAAAATAGGGTAGTGACAATATCAGCAACAGCTGTATGTGACTACTATAACCTTGATTGTATGTTTTTCGTATATTGTTTATATATTGTACAGTATTTAATTTTTTTTTTATTATTTTCAACTGAAACAGATTCCAAGAGCAGTTGTAATAATACTCCACCCTGAAGAAAAAGACAAACAAACCTTGAAAAATCGGTGATGTTTATATAAAGCACATAAGCCTTTTCAAAAAACAAAAACATTTCAAAAAGTGAACTCACAACTACTCTAGAATAGTAAAAAGTTGAAGGCGTTGTGAATTACTGTTTATATTAAGCAAATATTTGCTCAAACTTTGAAACTAAGAACTAACTAAATAGACAAAAATATATATTATCCGGACACCCGGTAATAACAACAGTATTCCCAGACTTAAGTAGTAATATGTGATAGATAAAAATTTCTTATTTCTTGCTTACCGTTGTATATTTGCACTTCAGAACCTCCTCCACAAGTTTTGTTGCAATCCAAGTGGGTCCTCCAGCTTGCAACAACGAATCTAAAATTTGTGTAGCGCGCACAGGCAACCAACCACATTCTGTTACACTAGCCCAGACCTCTCTAAATTGATCTATCAAGGGCGTTTGTGAAACTAAACTATGAGTTAATGATATGCTCCGTGATTTAAGATTTCCTGATGGATGTACATCATGTTGCATTTTTCTTATAATCTGAAAAGATAAACCCAGACGTTCCTTCGCAGTATCTTGTGAAGAAATTTCCTCATTGTTAGGATTCAGAAATTGTTGTATCATATTAAGCGGTTTAAGAAATTCAGTCTAGAAAGTAAATTTACGTTTGCTGTACTATTTTGAGTGTGTTTGTTAAAATATATTAAATTACTTACTTCTCTAACTGAATACATATAGGCGCATAGAAACGATGTAGCACAAACAGAGAAGGAAAATAATGAACGCTTTATATTTTCCAATATATTCTTTACATCTGAAGATGAGATTGATTCTTTCTCCCATGCCACAAGCACATGATGCAGTGCAGCTGGCAGATTCATGCATATATCTTGCCAAGTTAAATTGCTATATAAAATAATTAATTACCTCATACATTAGTCTGCTTTAAGACTTAATATAAACGTATGTATTTATAAGTTACCTTGGTTTGTACTGCGATTCATTTTGACGTAAGTTCAATAATAATTCCTCGATGATACTATCATCGCCAAGTGCAACCAAATTTTTAGGATTTTTGGGTTTGTTGCGCTCCACCATGCACTCACGTACCCACTTTTCAAAAAATGAATCACCATTTTCCGAGAGCACCACCTGTAATTTTAAGATATAATTTAACTGGAAATATAATATTATTTATTTTGAAAAATATGTGCATACATCGGAACCATATGTTTGCACGATAAATGTAAGCATCAAAAATGTTACATCGAATAATGTTGAACGTATAACCGAAGGTTTCCCAACTTCACCAGGTACTTGTTTGGAGTTCTCATTGCATTGTATTAGCCGTGATACGAATAATTTCAAACGACCTTCTACTGTTGCCACGGAGAGTATTAGCTCAAAACTGTTTCCTGCATTCGGGAAAGCACCGTTATTTATAAAATAATTGAGATATAAATTATAAACCAATTACCTACTAACACCTGGCAAAGTACACCTAAAACTGCTTCTTGTACTTTATTGTAGTCAGTACTTAAGGTTTTCAGTATACCCGATAGTGGTACTTCGGCACGTATTATAAAATTTATTATTGATGGAGGTTTGTTAACTGATTCCCGTTTTTGTAACATCATTTCCCTGAAATGGGAACATATTTATATATAGAAATATATTAAAACTTAAAAGGAAATACCTTTGGGATGAGAAATGCCTCACATGCATGTCATTCACTAAATGTTGTTTGGTCCAGTCATTGAGTAAATATTCAATAATGTTGCAAGAACATTTTGTGTCCATAAAATCTAACAACAAATTATCTTCAAGCAACATTTCAAAAGCTTCGACTACTTCCGGTATAAAATCCAATGGTGTTTGCTCACCTGGTGCTGAGGAAGTGAGGAAGAAAAAAATGGAGATTAAAAAATTATGAAAATATTTATTTAATAAAATGCAAAGGAAGATCCAAGCAGGTTGTGCAGAGTCATTGAAAAGGATAATCAATGCTGTTGTTGTGAATACCTGTGGAGATTGCCAAAAGAGAGTCTACCAGCAGGAATAATTAATATCTTAGCAAGTTGTTGTAGCCAACAGTGACTCGTTCGAAGGTCAATTAACATATATATTTATATATGTATCAATCTGCTAGCATGATTTTGTAGTTAACAGTGACTTGTTCGAAAATTAACTAAAAGATAAACATATATTTATAGCGACTCTTTCTTATTTAAAATGTGAAAACTTTTATGAAGATATGTATAGGACAGTTCAGTTTGGATTTGAAACTCTTTGACAATGATCACCGTTCCGAATTACGGCCTACACGATCATGTGAACATACCCACTAAATTCTATATAAAAATATAGAGTTATTCAGTTCTGACAAATATTTGAAGAAATCACGCAACATCCATATATCACACACTATTGATGTTCTTGTAGTATACAATTCGAATATAGAAAGTAAATACATGTAAAGATATCTAAACTTTCATAAAAGATGAGGAGACGAGAATGAAGAAGACCACTAATTGTTGTTATTATTATAGTCCAGATAGACATGCTGGTTTTGTGCCTGTTAACCCGAAATAACCCACGATTACCACGAAAAATTGCTTCTGGGCAGTACCAGGTTAGGATGGTCAAACAACACTTTTGTCCCTATTAAAAAGATCACGTGGCACTTAGTCATATAGAAAAACAAGTGACTCTATGACATATATGACAATCATTATTTGAACTTTATGTTTAAAATGAATGTTTTCGTTGCATTTAATACATACACCGTGTTAAAGCGCTCAAATGCTTTATAATATGTGGTAATTTGAAGAAAGTGAATGAACCCCACATAGTGTCATGGCTGGTTTCTCCAACGTTGCTTAAAGAAATAAATCCGGCACGTATAATTTCATAAAATAATCGTCTGTTTGATAGTCCTTTAAGGCGTTGTATCATTTGCAATTCGGCTACATAATAAGATGTATCATTACAAGGATTTAGTAACACTTCAACTGCTAGCAACGGCTGTACACAATATGTTATTGATTCTACTACGCCCGACTCTAAATGCGGCATCTCCAAATGAATTAAATCAATATAAGCCAACTGTTGTAAATATTTTTCTGTAATAGCATTTTGGGGAGAATAATTTGAATTTGCAAATGCAGATTTTATCTGAATATATTTGTCGCGTATTTTAATGTAATATTCCGAATCTTCCTGCCTGCTGCCAATGTATAACATTCCCATCAGAAATTGATTTTTGGCCAACTTTTCAATTACCACACTACTAACATCAATAACATAGGAATTTTCTACAAAAAAATTAATATATTAATAAAATATATTCTAGAACACATACAACACTAGTAATACCTGATTTTCCATCTGGTTTTATGCTATGTTCCTTTAAAGCATGTGCGAAAATCTGTACCAACCAATAAACCAAAGCTACGATAGCGCTGGGAAGTACAGCTTCCTCCGCTTTATTACTGCAAACAGTAAACATTTTAAATAACAAAAGGCAAATATTTTTATTGTGTGTTATTTACCGACACGTCACTCCATCGATGATCTCATCCAGAAAATCCAATAGTGAGCAAACGCAAAATGTCCTATAAAAATGTTCATATTTGGAAATACGTCTTAGGACAGCAGCATGTGAGACTAAATGTGCATTGAGTGAATGCCTTAAGTAATTAAGAATCATCTTAAGAAAATTAAAAAATCAAATTATTTGTTACGAATTGTAGAACTAAAATAAATTATGTTCTACATACCGGATTTACAGTCGAACCTATCACAGCTTGCTGAAATATACAGTCTGCTAAGTTATAAACATCTCCGCTAGCGCCTCTTGGCAGCACCTAAATTACACAAAAGAAAGAGAACAAACATTTATTATAAAATATTGTTCCATAAATAAGAAGAGTAAGTTAAAATGCTTATAAATCTATTGGTCGAAGTACACATTAAATTTCATCTTGAAATGCAAATTTTCTATAGCTTGGCAGACCAAATACAAACTTGAAAGTGAAGCACCGGTTATTTATCAAAAACAGAGCGCTGCAATTGTTTGAATCTGTGGACGTTTACACTAGGTCAGAATTCCACTCTCCTAAATCAAATGCAACATATATATTCCGTCAGGTATATATGTTGGGCTTCAAACTTCTGCATACTTCTGTAAGTCCACCTATATAACTAATTATCAGAATTCAACTGAAATCTTGTTACAGTTGCTGTTGTGGTAGCCCGCAGGGATCTGCTTCTAAAATCCCTTTTTAGTATGGTGAGGCACTTGCTTATCGTGGTTGACGAGCGGCACCGAGGCATAAATCCGGCCATTTTTGAAACCTGTCACAATGCATCACCCAATGGTCCCAGAAACTATTAAGTAAAATTGCTTTAGACACTAACTCGCGTTTCTTCAAGCAAAGAGACAAGATAAACTCCTATTCATCATTCATTTTTACTCTTAAACAAACATTATCTTTTGTCTCTCTCACACTACCATTATCTTTCCATCATCATGTACGCATATTTACCTTAACCCATGTATCCATATTTGTAATTCCTTTCCTATTATCTACTCGATAAGATGATAACATCTTTTTAGACGACGAAGTGCTGTTTATCTATTCCAAAACACAAACGTCGTCCCGACTATAGATGATGCGTCTTAATAACATTGTAATCCTGCTAATTTAGGTACGATACCATAGAGCGAAGATTGTCAGAAAGGTAGATCACTACATACGATATATGGGTTTGATACAAATCCATATAGTTATCAAGGCTATCTGAAGAATTAAGATAGCCGCAACTTGTTTTTTAGTAGATTCTGTTAATGTGTTATAGTTTCCAAATATATCACCATTATTATAATTAATATATATTGTACTATATATACATATTGTAAATATATTTTTTAGTATTCATTGAAAATTTGAAATACTTGATATTAAAAATAAATTGAAAGAGAAAATATTTATTGATATTAAATTTTTTTTTTTTTGGTTAGTTTACCAAAAAGTCAAAATAAAATTAGATAAGTCAACAGTTAGACTTCTGCATATATTTTGTCCTGATTTATTTAAAATTTGAAAAATTTGGCGTTCGGAGCTTTTTATAAGTAAACTGCGATAATGTTGCGTTCCGTGACTAAACGCATACTTCTAAATTGTATATCACCCAATAAATTTCTCGTGGCTAGTGTAGCGTACCAGTTTAAAGTTAAAAAACCATATTACTATCCTGACAGAAAAGAGGAAATGAAGCGGATGAATGAACAAGCAAAATCTCAATTGGTAGCTGAACCTCAAAAACCGAAGGCGCTTCCGAAAGACCACTACTACCGTATATTGGGTGTGACTAAATATGCTTCTACTCCTGAAATTAAGGCTGCATACTATTCGATGGCTAAGCGTTATCACCCCGATTCAGGCAGTCAGTCGAAGCGTTTTACCGAAATTTCTAACGCTTACCATATATTGACGGATGAGATAAAGCGCATGGAATATGACCAACTTGGTATGGTTAAGGATGAGCAATCGTTTTTGCAAAAAGCTAATTTAACAACGAGTTCTACAAAGCCTAAAAAACAAGATTTGCAAACTCAGGCTCTCAATAAGGATGGTAAGTTGAAATAGAATAAAGTATACTATTTAATTATATCGTAGGATGTACCTCTCTATAAAAGTTGCACAATTTTACTTTTTTTATAAAAAGAAAGAAATTTTCAATTAAATTAATTTTTTTTCAAATGTCGTTTTCTGCTAGAGATACTACAACTAGCCAAGCAGGAACCAGTGCTTGAACTTTCTTTTACCGAGTCTGCTCATGGTGTCACAAAAAACGTTGATTTGCGCTTTTTGAAAAAATGTTTTACATGCAACGGCAAGTCTCCAAAATTGGCGAACCGTACCCGTACTGAACCGTGCCGTAAGTGTGGAGGAAGCGGACAGATCAGTAAGAAGACTTCTACTTACACCACGGTCTCAGACTGTGACGCTTGTAAAGGAAGGCGTTTCATCAACCGCAACAAATGTGATACTTGCGATAATCGTGGCTACATAGTAGAATCTGTGCGGGTAGTTGTGCCTGTACCATCAGGATTGAAAACAGGTGATGTGCTACCAATCGAAAATCCCAAAACTAAACAGCGTGTCAATTACCGTATACAAGTTAAGGAAAGTGAATATTTCAGGCGCATTGGAAACGATATACACACTGAAAAATATGTCAACATATCTCAGGCTATTCTCGGTGGCAATGTTACAGTGCGCGGTATTTATGGAACTAATGAAGTTAAGATTGAACCAGGTACTGAGAGCCACAGTAAAATCGTTTTAAAGGGCAAAGGAATAAAAGAACGAGATTCGGTTGGAGATCACGTAGTGTTGATTAAAATTCGTGTTCCCAAGGCAATTAACATGAAACAGAGACAGATTGTTTTGGCTTTGTCCAAAACAGAAGAACCGAATTTCGACCCAGCTGTATAAAGTAAACATCTCTCGTTTGTGGTCGAATCCTTCTGCCCTTTCAACACTATCACTTTTATACAGCTATTCGAGATTGATCCTTTGGCAAGTGATACAGATCTCTTTATTACATGTATATTTCCTGGTTGTTAAAGTGTATAATTAAATAAAATATTGCACTTTACAAAACTGTTTTTTACTCACATTCTTTATGTTGATGCTCCATTGCTGGTCCGACCAGCGGCAACGCCAAGCACGAAGAATCATCATATTTAGCATACTTGTTTTGCTGGTTTTCGGCAAATCTATTTTATGTTCCTTCATCATAATGGATTAATATATATTTAATAATATAAATATAAATATAATATATAAATTTAATAACTTTTAAACATCACACACGCAAACACACGAAATCGAACTCAAGAAATAGCAAATTAAAGTAAATTTGAGGATATCAACAAAAGGCAAAAGGTAGCATTAACAGGGTTGCAATGCCGAAAAAAACCAATGTAAATATTTGTGCTCGTTCATTTGTAGTATTTTAGAAGAAATTACCTGTGGTGAATATCGTTTTTAAGTACAAATGACATAACGTATATACAAAGAAGATAAAGAATACAAACAGAGGAAATTTTGAATAATTCTGCCACTTTGTGTAATATCTCTCTCTTATTTCTTCATCATTTTTCACATATATATAATTGTCAAATATTAAAATCGGGATGGCTTATAACCTAAATGTTAACTACATGTGTGATTACTTGTAGTAACTTTGAGTAACTCTGTGTATACAAAAGTGCGTTCCACCAGCAAATTTTCGTGTAAATGAGAGCATCTGAGAGAGCGTTACATCTCTGTAAAAAATGTTACACAGACTTTACTCAAACATTTTATTTCAAGTAAAATTTGTGTTAATATGTGTATGAGCTGTTTTGGTTTGAATTTAAATTTTTGTATTGTTTATTTGCTTGGCACTGGTGTTTTCACCCGACTACACAAAGCTATTCGATGAAAATCTGTGTAAAGAGCGAAATTTGATACTTTATTTGTGTTACGCTCTCAGTTTGTACTGAACTTGTATTTTACTTGAGTTTGACTACAAGTTTGTGGAACAGACCTATTTTATTAAACACATGTGTTGTGATATGTGATACTAAAAGTTTTGATGCAATGATGAAAAATTCCACCACATCGATATCGTAGTAGATACAAATGATCACACAGTATAAAGAAATTGATGGTATTTTGAAAAGGAAGTTATTAAAAAGGTGAAATTCAATCAATATGTAATTATGTATAGCAAACAAAATAAATTGGGAGACATTTAGAAATTGCATGAATTTTATAACAAGAAAATACCTATAGCGTATATTTGCAATAGGTGAAAAAATCGTACCCTTATATAAAACTTAAATCCAGCAACAAAAAATAGATATATATATTATATATTGAGTAATGATTTTAGCGATGCGAATACGCGGTTTGGGATGAAACTGTGATTATTACAGAAGTGAGATAGGTACAAACTCGTCCCTATCTAGTTCTACCTGAAGATTCTCAGGAGGGATCAGCATGGGCATCTTCTAGAAAAAGAGAGTAAGTAATCATCAATGTGAAATATTTTGAAAGAGTTGTAAAAAAGTTAGAGTAGTATTTGCCAGCGCTTGTATTTGATACAATCCAGAAGAACTCTTCTTCTAAAGTCCAACATCAATTTCAACTGATTGTGGTGAACTTAAGGCATAACTTAAGAATGGGTGGATCAGTTTCATATAGTAAAGTACTTTAATCTTGACATTGAGTTTATTATGTCCACAAATTTCATTTCTTAGGTTAAAATACCCGAATGTGATATTCTGAACGACATATGTATATCACACGAGTAGTTCATAAGCCTAAACACATCTACAAAATATTTCAGTTTTATTGCATAATGTATATCATCAGTATCTAGTTACCTTAACACCGATTGTTATTTGTTATATCTCATCTATTAAAGGAGAGACTTAAAAAGCTTAAATTTTACTTTCATATATCTGCTTCTAACACATCTCTATCAGTTAGACGTTGTCCGTATGAAGTTGCATGTTTCCAACAGAAGTGTCCAAAGGTAGGAAGTAAAATACCAGGCCCGGATTAATACAGGCGAACTCTTTACTCAACAATCTCTTTGCATGCTCCAAAATACAATGTAAAAAGCTTTAAGGGATCTACTTCACGGTCACAATTTCTCTACGATCTGCAGCAAGAACAACATACTCTAAAAAATTATTCCGACAGATCAGTAACGTTGCAGTGAAACTCAATAAAAACCGTCATGGAAACAGTTGCCTAATGCCGAAAACTTAGGTTTGATTGCAATAGTAACTATGCTAAGTAAGAACTCAGCATTCCATGCATAATAATAAGGGATCAAGTGTCTTACCCATGAAAATGGAAAGAGATATAAAAGTTAAAGGATTTAAAACCATGTTTAATGAGACACAGGATGTTTTTCACGAGAAGGTATCATTGCTAACCAAGATTGTTTTGAAATCAAATCTTGAGTATTGATCTTAAAACTCCGCCATCAGCCAATGGTTGTTGCATCAACGGATTTGAATATACATATGTATATAAAAAAAAGCAATAAACAAAATTAAACCATGGTAGCGATTATGTTAGTCCCATAAGATTGGACATAGTACAATATTGAATACAAGCAATAAGCGTGAGGTTTTATTACAAGATGAGAGTTTGGAAGTTTAAATGAAGTCCCTAAGAATCAGATACGTTATCCATGTAGTGTGTGAAACTGCCTAATCATTGTGTCCGATTTATTAAGATAAATTATTTGACACAACTTGACGCGTCAATCACTACAAAACAATTACAAGACAGTGAAGACAAGAGAAATGTTACATGGTAGATAATGGCTGCAGTTTAGTTGTAGCGACAGTGAAGAAGACGAACAATATAGTAAGGTTCCAAGAACGGTAGGGTCTACGTCCTGGAGCCACTCATCGCCAACGACGACCAAGTACCGTTTAACACCTTGCAAAAGGGACTTCACTAACAATATAATAAAATATTTTAATTAAATAATGAAAACAATTTGCGCTATATACTTTTTATTTTTCAATTCATATATGTATTTAAATATATTTAATATTAGTTAATAAATAATAAATATAATGTATAATTTCGTTATTTTATTTTGTACAAAAAATATATCATAAAATTGATTTATTTTTATAATTGTAATTATTCTATTAGATGAGTGAAAATACGAAGAATGAAATACGCGTAAACCCTATTAGATGCATATATCGATACCTATATATAGTATATATTAAAATGATTAAATTTATATATATATGTGAATGCGTAAATATGACATTTTTAAAGTTTGCATGCCTTAGCTACTAATTAATAAAGTAAAAATAATTAATTAAAAAAAAGTTAATGGTAAATGCTAGAAGTGTGCACATTCTTATGAGTAAATATTGTGAATTGGGTGGGTAAATATATGTATATATAGTTGTTCTGTTCTGTTTTGTTTTGTTCTTGCAAGACTTGTAGGATATGATTAGAATTCTATTAAAATAATATAAGTTGAAATAAAAATAATAAACGTTTGATGTATTCAACTTTTATTTAAATATAAAAAATTTATTGTAGATTTGTTAGAAATCACTAAAAGGATATGAAATTTTAATTACTAAACTTAAAACGAAACTTGCACAAAAACTTATACATTAACATATGATGATTTAATTAATGAATATATATATAAGTTTCTTGAATCAAATTTGAAGCGAAACATTATCGTACAATAAACACAAACCGAAACAAAAATATTTATTAATCTTAGAATCTCAATCTTAGAAAATTATTAAAAGTACTTTAAGCTTGAACGTTCGTTTCTTGTTAACTTCAAATAAACAAGTTCATTGCCCTCGCGAAATGGACTTCGTGATTAGAAAAATCGCAAGATGGAAATTAATTAATTAATAAAAAAATTTATCACGTATTCAAAAATTAAAACATTGAACAAAAATAAGAATGCTTAAGTTGAGGCATTTTCATCGCCCTTAACAGCAGAAGCATAACTTGGTCCAGAGGGGCTAGATTTAGCATCATCGTTAACTCCGCCACCACCCAAAGGTTGTGGTGAATCAACTAAAATATATATATATTATAATAAAAAAAAGTAAAAAAAAAAAAAATAAAAAAGAAATAAATAATAGTCGTGTCATATTTTACTCAATCAATGTGCACCTTTAACATCCATTGCGTAGCTATCATCTAAACGCAAATCATGTTTTTTTATCAGTTGACATTCACCACCCTCGACAGATGGAATGGAATAAACGTATAGATAGCCATCTTGTGAAGCAACTAGGAGTCTATAATAAGATTAAAAACAATATTTATTAGCTATAGCATAAACAAAACTAAATTTTTTTATAAATATTATGTATATATATATTTAGATAATAAACATTTGTATTATTGTATAAAACTAAAATATTCTATTTTTATGCAAATGATTAGATATGTAGGAATATATAGGAATTTAAATTTTATAAATATTTATTAAAGTGTTTCTATTAAAACTTAATAATGTATTTCATAATGGAAGAGATAAATCGAATCAGAACTGCGCCTTGAATATATATATTATGGTATTATAGTAGTACCATATATATATTTCAAATAAATGTTATATTAAAATTTAATCTTATCTATACCTAATCTAATCTAATAATCTAATTTATATCTATAAAAATGCTTGTTTCAAAGTGAAAGACACAAATCGAATCATATATTTGCCTATATATACTGTATATATACACATATTTAAAATATTTGTACTAATATTTAATAACCTATGAGATTTTCATTATAGAAGAGACATCGCACCAGCACTGCGACTTTATAAGATAATTTTGAATATATATATATATATATATATATATATATATATATAGATCCGTATTACAGATAAAATCCGTGCCGTATAGATAATTAAAATACTTGTTATAATAAAATTTAATAATTTATGAGTTATTTATTTCATAATAAAATAGGTATTCTAAGTAATGATACGATTTTATGGAAAGAACTAGAATGGAGTAGAAGGATTGGCAACCCTCATAGTCCAATGAAAATTTATGGCCCTAACTTTTTTCTTTCTTTCTTAACTGATTATATACAATAAATATTAAATATTTAAAATATTATTTAAAATTTTAAAAATAATAAATTATTATTTGCGATAGCCCTATTTTTTTTATAAGTATTAAAAGGATTAAATGTTATAAATACTATTTAAAGTATTTATAAATGAAATATATTTATATATTTTTTGCATTTTTTATAAAATGTTGTATATGAAGAATATTAATAGTTTAAATATAGCAACTATATAACTATAATCTTTATATCTTCTTATTATTTTAAAAGTAGGACAACTGCCTTATTTTGCATTCAATTGCTTGATAAGAACAATAAAATATATACAACATTTTAAAATATAATAACTACGAATTACAAAATTAAAACTAAAACCTATACTGACAAAAACGTAAATTTATTTAACAGATTCTTATTTAAAAAAAATAGATAAAAAAATCTATTTTGTATCCTTAAACTGTTCACATGTAGAATATATGAAATCTAACAATAACTTGGCAACATTAACAGGTAAAATAGTAATTGTAAATTACACTATTTCTAAGAAAAAAAAAGTTGTTTTTGCAAAATATCAATATCCTTATACCTAAAATACACATATTAGGATTAGTTTGGCATATTATAGTCTTATACATATATGAAAATATAAGTATCTTATATTTAATACAAAGTATCTTTATTTTGGAATCAACGCTTACCTCAGTTGCTTGTGTATTGTGGCAATCGCACACATGCGCCTGATGCCTGCTTCTGGTAGCGTAACTGAGGCAAATGCACGCCCCTGACTAAAAACATCAGTTACCTGGGATGGCAAGACGCTGGTTACAGTCTTACTTAAGAATCTAAAAAACGAGTAACTTAAGTATGAAAGCAGACAGGTTTGCGGCGAAAGATAAAAAGAAAAATAGATAAAATGTGTGTGTAAGAAAATTAAAATTAGAAATGAATAAATGCAAGATGATTCGAAATCAAATCATTATAAAGCAATGGTCCATATTGTTTCAGAACTGTTGGTGATCGTGTTTAGTATAACTAAATGTCATTGTGCAAAGAAAGAAACAAAAACATTAATAAAACATACAAAACATTTTCAAAATTAATGCAACGAGTATCACAAAACAAATTGAACCAACACCAACACTCAAAAAATTGTACAATAAATTTCAAACCAACACCACTTACCCCATCCAATCATCGGATGATTGTTTCGTTTCAGCATTCTCTGCTGCACTACGATCCAAACGGAATATGTGTACAGTTTCAGTATTTGAACTAGATACTAAATATTCTGCACATGTGCTAAATGATAGGGAAGCTATGGATACGCAACGTTTAAGACCGCGTCGCAGTTCAAATAATTTAGCACCATCTAAAGTTGAGAAAACGCGAATTACAGTGCCACGCTCACTGGCGGTAGCTATTTCAGTGCCAGATGGGCTAAAAGCTATAGCAGCAAGTGGAGTATCATGAGCAGGAATCATAGTTTTAGCATGTAAGTTGATGGCATCAAATATTTGCACTTCGCCCGAAGTAGTACTACCAGGATATGCCAAATAACATTGTTCGGATGATGAAAGAGCACACAAACCATTTGGATTGCATGGTGTATCGCGTATGGTGTGCACAACTTTCATATCCTGTATATTATGTATATAAAGACTTTCTTCAAGACATACAATTAAACGTTCACGATTCAATTTAACAGCCAAAATTGTATTCGAATAGGAATAGTTACATATTTCGCTCTGTTTCTTAAAATGACAAACCTAAAATGAATATATCGGTTTTATCATGACATAAGTTAATGGAAAAAGTAATAATAAAAGTAATAAAAATGTTACCCTTAATTTTCTTGGTGCTTTTTGAGAAACTATGGCTACTAACGAACTCTCAAAGAGTCGTTCAATTAAGAAAATTTCCTCCGAAGGGCAACTGTAAATTTTATCCAAAGTGGAATCGATTGAGCCTAAACTATATAAACTATAACCAGCTTTGGTGGCAACTGCTAAAGAACTGTAATAAAAATAATGTGTAGTTAATAGTTATATTTATTAAAACCAAAATATTATAGAAAACTATGTTATTTACATATACCAATTACAATTATACATTGTATACAAAATGGGTGATATATATAATTCAAATAGCTTTCTATATATACTTGGGTTCAATGAACTGTGATTATTTTTGCGGTGTAATGTTTTGTAAACTGTTAACAATTTACCGTTGGAGATAAATGATAAAATAAATATAATAAATAATTACTTACGTTACATTTTGATTGAAATTCACAAACACTTCACCAGCATCAATGTCTGGTCTCCCAAGAATGTTCATCATATTGTATGTTATTTATTTAATATAAATTTTATAAATCTATTTCTTTTTTTTCGAGTTGGGGCTGTTAAGGTCAAGTAAATCTCTGCAAAAAAATATAAATATATCATAAATTTATATTAATTATTTAAAATAGTCTCAGTCTCATGTTCGGTAGAAAAGTCTTTTAAGTTATTATAAGAAAACATCTTCAAATCTAAAACACTATAGACGTCTAATCTTTAATCTACAAGTTATTGAAGCTAATTCATTGGTTTCCATATTGGCACAAATTGAATATGGATATCAAAAGAAATTATCTGGCGCATATAATTTTTACCTTCTCTTCACACTTTTCCTCATTTTAAAACATAAAAATAATAATAACGGGATTAAGAATTATTCTAATAATGAAATTTCAAATCAACTTCCAAATATATTTTAATTAAGTAATTGAAACAAGATAAATGCAGTTTTTATTCAAAATATTATAATTTCTTCTGCTGACCATCAAGTCACTAACCTGTGGAAAATTATCAAACGCTCTCCTCTTGCCCGTTTGATAGCGCAAACGAGGGGTCGTTTTACCAACTTATTTACGCAGTAAAAAAAATAAATATATTATAATGAAATTATTTATTTATTCCACTGATTATTTTTAGTAAACGCATTGCAATATCTCTTGCACAATCTGACGAAAACAGTAAATCAACTAATTCTCAGTGCCTTAACGCTACTAACGCATTGTGGATGTTTTAGACTTTCAGCTTTCGTCAATGACGTTGTTTTCTACTCAGCATTGACAAACGAAAAATTGCTAATGCAAATTTCTGAACATATGTGAAATAAATAATTATGCCAATTTCTAAATAATTTAGGATTACTCACAGATTGTCTGAATTTGCTGCAAATAATTTGATCCTTTCTTTGTTACCAGCGCGCACCTATGCGAAAATCCTTCTTCTTTGTTTTGTTGCTTTCTCCTTTATCGTGGTCTTTATCAATTTATTTTGTTTTTGTATTTTTTCCTTATATATAAGATAACTTAATTTATATTGTTCACTGAAAAATATATAAAATTGCTTTAACTATAAGAACAATATAAGTTTATTTTGCAATATTAAATTATTTAAATATTTAAAAAGTTTTAATAGCGCAGTTATACTTCGTTTTAGTAAAAATATAATATTTATTTTATATTCACATACAATTGTTGTTAAAAAAAACATATAAACATACGAAATTACATATTTTTTACAATAATTATAATTTTTAAACTCTTAATATAATTTTAATTTAATGCATAAAATTTGCAATTACCAAATTCTGTTTTTATTTATTTACTTCTAGCAACGACTTACTTTACTTTTCGAGCTCGAAAATTGCACTGCTTTTCTTTCGGTTGGTAATATTGAACAGTGTTCTTTGCACTTCTCTCATTCCACTACTTTTTAAAGGCGGCAAAACATGTAGCACATTTTCAAACCTTTCAATCGCGGGAAGCAAATAAAAGGCGAAAAAATAATAGTACATTTTAAAAACTATTCGAAGAGAATTTCAACCTTTTAAAATAAACTCATTTATAATTGATTTAAATTTATTTGTCTTATTATAATCATGTTCAAAGAATTTGTCGTTGTACATAATAAATATTAAGATTATTGTCAATTTTGTGTGAGTGATTGAAGAGCAGGGATCAAATATTATTATAATACAGCATGCTCTCGATAACTCGGACGTTGTGGTAATTTGAACACCACCCATATCCTTATAATAATTTCAATAATCCAGACAAAGCCAAGAAAACAAATCAATTTGACCCAAATGAAAATACAATCTCTATAAATTTCTGTAAATGTTATAACCATTTCATGTCCTAATACATACACCAATTTGAATCTAATTTTCTTCGACTTTATTAATCCGGGTTAGCTTCACTTAAAATCTCACCGATCCTTAATCAAGCGATGATGGCTCAGCAATAATGCTCAGAAAATAAAAAGCTCAAAGGGAGTACTTGTGGTATGATAAGTTGACCTGAAGTAAATTATACAGAGTGGATTAAAGACAACAAAGGAAATATGTCGGATAAGCAAATCGTGATAACAATAGTTTATATTGGCCCACATCACAACTGATAGGATATTATAGAGATGTTGTATTCAAACCAACCGACTGGCCCATACTAATAGGTAGGAAGGTTAAAAACTTTATATAGGTATTAGCAGATATATTAGCATAATTTTTTTTTTTGATGTAATATATAGGAACTAATTGCCAAAAATCCCACACGAAAATCGACGAGCATAACGGATCCGCCACCAAGCCATGCTAAGCTTCTGGAGCCACAACAGAATCGACGTGATTGCTTCCAAACAATCCTTTCCCCTTTGACACTTCCATATATCTGCCATATAGATTTCCACGGGCTATTATAACAACACATGCAAACTTTGAAAACTTTTTTTATATAAAACTCACAAACAGCTGTTTTATGCTGTTTATTTTTCGTGTTTATTGTCCATTAGTTGTGGAAATCTATTTTAGTATTCTTACAAAAAATAATAAAATTTCTGAAGAAATATATTTCGAATAGAAAAGGGAAGGTAATAATGAAAAAATTGATCAGTGGTCTTAGGAAAATATGTTGGTTTTTTATTGTCCGTATATAATTTATGGATTGAAAGTGTAATCGTGGACCAGTGTGTAAACACAAAAAGTCAACTCACCTTTAATTTACGTTATTCAAATTTAGTGATTAAAAAAGATTTATTTTTTTCAAATACTATTGACTTAACAGAATATAAATTATATATATAACTTCCATTTTTAAAAAGTGTTAAATGATGAAGAAATCCATTTTCAAAACTCAAATTAAATTTTATTGGCATGAAAGATTAGAGGATTGTGTTAATATAAGTTATAAGAATACCGATCTTGTTTCACCTATACGATTCTATAGTTTCTAAAAAAAGCTGTATTTGTTGTCTTTGGGAGTATATTACTTCGATTGGTGGTGTAAGCAACCTGTAATTTGCAACCAAGTTTTTAAAGTCCGTTTCTTGACTATGAACCGAAATATTCGATTGAATGTTCTTTCAAAAATTATTAGTATTATTATTGTTATTATTTATTTATTTCTCCTTAATGGGTATAAAAATACATTTTGGAAGTCTTAGCTTGAAACAAAAAAGCTATGTATGACAGGTGATATGACAGGTATCGATGATCTCTGACTTCTGCACGGTATCAACGAGGTTTTGCGGATGTCCAAAGGAGCTCATATTTGTACAGAGATGTTTGTCAATTATACCTTCAGGTTCCAGTTTCGTTTAGTTTCCACTGCTAACTCAGTATATCTGCTTATTATTATTATTATTATTAAATTATTATTATTGGCTAAAACATAATAAAAAATTAAAGACAAATAATAGAAGATTATGGCTATTAAGCCGTATAATGACACTAAAATATTGGATATGGTAATTGTTGAAAATCTATTGTTAAATAGGAGAACTAAAATGATATCCATAAAAAAGTAAGGCTAAGCAAAGTATGTCGTATTTGCAGAGCCATGAATTGATAAGGCTTGCCCTTCATACAAAAACCATACAAACCAACCAAAGAGGATCAGAATTTTATGCAATTCAATATAAACTTAATAAGATATCATTTACTTCCCGACCTTAACAAAAGTATGCTTTATAGTTTTAATTTAAAATTTCACTTTTATCTAAAATTAATACTTTTGCAAAATGTGATGAAGTGGAATCACGCAAATAGTTCACCAAAACTTTTAAGTAACTTGATTGACTTCGATCTTTCTCAATACTTCCATATCAGTGTTTTTTAATAACAATCGCATTTTAAAAAATAAGATTAAATATCACAATGTCATTAATCAACTCTAATTTTATTTATTTATTTGTGAGTTAACATTAAAATTAAATTTAAAGTTAACTAAGAATAAAGAACTGGACTATTAGGTCCTTCGCCCTGTTAATCAACTCTTATTTACTTCGCCGGAGTATGGACAAGCACACAAAAAATGCAACCTATGAAATGATTAAGAAGATTTTTCTTAAAAAACTTGCCATCTTAACAATATCCCCTAACGTACTTTTATTATATAAAGGACTATTATTTAAGTTCAAGTGGGGTTTGGGCACAAGGCCACCCGTGCAACCTAACCTACCGTACCATGTAAATAGACTGCATCTAAAGGCATCTATGAACAAAACCTTGCCGCAACTCTAGTTATAGAAACAAAACCGAAATTCCGTTCTGCAGAATAGAAACAAATTAAATTAAATATTCATTTTACATCCTTTGTTCATATATTTAATACTTATTTCATTGGTACACGTGAAAAAGAAATAATCCAAACGTAAATTTATTGATATTAATGTATCTTTGATCAAATCACTTAATAGTTTATAACGTTAACAAAATAAGTTCAAAAGAAAAATTTATAAAAACTTAAATCTATCGGCATAGAGTAGCATCAATTTGTTCAAGCCAAGGCAAGATATTCTTTAACTTCAATCGATACATTGGATCCTTCGATACTGGATTTCGCTCTAAGTAAAGGGTTGAAAGAGATTTGTTCACTTTAAGCACTTCCAAATTTGGCCAACGGTCAATATTGTTATCATTAAGCCATAAATCCTGCAGAACTGTCAACCCTTCAACGTTGTCCACAGACTTAAGGCGATTCTTGGCCAAGTCTAATGTATCCAATTGGATGTTATGTTCCAAATTTTCAATTTTTTCAATACCATTCTCTGATAAGTATAATTCTGTCAAGTTCACCAGCTTATCAAGATTTTCTATTTTCGTAATACGATTTGCAGGTAAGCTTAAACTCTGCAAATTAACCAACTGTTCGAGATTTTCAATTTTCGTGATCTTATTTTTCCCAAGGTATAACTGACGCAAATTGACGAGAGTTTCAAGGTTTTCAATTTTACGGATTTTATTATCGCCCAACTCCAGCATTGTTAAATTACTTAACATACCAACATTTTCAATGAGTTTCAACCTGTTAGACGAGAGATACAACTTAGTTAACTTGGTCAACTTTTCCAAGTTTTCAATCTGAGTTAAACGGTTAAAGCTCAAATCAAGTATTTCCAAATTTGTAAGTGCATCTAGATTCTCGATTTTTGTTATTTGGTTATCATAAAATTCGATCTCAACAAGCGTTGTTAACATTTCTATATTTTCAATCTTTTTAACAAGATTCCAACGAAGAAACAATCTTTCAATCCTCTTCAAAGGCTCGAAATTCTCGAGTTTCTCGATGCGATGATGGTTCAGATCTAGCTCCAACGTATCTGGATCAATAAGGACCACATCTTCAATAGATGCTACTTTTTCCTGCAAGTGTTGAACTTCTGTGGAGACCACAGCTGCTTTTTGACACATATCTCGTTTCTTTGAGCCTGGATGTTTTTCATCATCAGATGAGTCAGATTTCTGCTCCGGCGAATTCTTTACATCATTTCGAGCACCAAATGTAACAGCTTCATTATTGACGTCTGTTGCTTCTTTCTTTTTGTCTGACATGTTGCTAACAAAATAATTTTCAAATTGTTGTTACTGTGATTTTAATACAATAAATTTATAAAAAGTTCTTAAACAAAGAATGCCGACTAAACCAAAAAATTTAACAAGTTTTGGCTTATAGGGCAAACGTTGCCAGCTAAAAATATTTGCAAATGTAATTAATACAGTTTGAAAGTGATTGCATATCGCAATCAGTCATTATATATCTTCTTCATGTATTCCCATTTTATATAATCAAACTAATTGACTATAATATATGAAATATATTTAACAAATGATTTTATTTATGAAGAATTTCAAATCTGAATTAAATATGTTTTTTAGACATGTAAGAAAATTTAAATTAGTTTAAATTTATACTTACTTAGAAATGATTTCACCCTTACCCTTGAATTCTGCATAAAACCACCTTAAGTTTATTAAAAGCAGTTTAACAATAAATTTCAGTAAAAAACATCGCTTTTAAGTATTGCATAAAAAACTTAAATACTATTTTGATAAAAAATAATACTTATTGTTGCATCTTTGTTAAGTTAATTGTATTTTACACCTAATCTTACAATTCGTGCATATTTATTTTTATAAACGTGCAAAAATACAACTCATAAAAATGACGTTATTCACATAAATGAATCAGTGAAGTCTCTTTTATATAATTTATTATAAAAAAATAATTCCATTCAAATAGATTATGCAAAAAAGTGCTTGAACAAACACATAGTCTTTCCTTCGCTATTGATTTATTATTCAGAGGCAGCCAATATCCCATGGACTGTTCTTTTTATTACGGCATATTATTTAGAGCACGGCCCATATGCATTGCCCTCTTACATATGTTTTGATATCTCATCGAAATAACCTAAAAATAAGTGACAGGTAATAAGAATACTAATATCTCGTTCAAGCTACACAATTATTTGCAATTAACGCTTTTATTTTAATAAATGGCAATATACAGTCAGCGACAAAACTCTACATACACCCCCCATTTTTGCTAGCTCGTAAATCCAAGGACATAGTAGAAAAAAGTAATGATACAGTTTTGTTTAGAACTGTTTTTTATTAATAATAAACAAAAGAAAATCCATTCATCAATATAAATTAACAAAGTTATTCGAAAAAAACCTAAAAAAATCATTGACAAAAGTCTACATACACTTCATTGGTTGTTAGATATAGTCGACAGTAATTTAAATGTTAAACGGGAAAGTACCGTTTTTCATATTTCATGCTTGTGGCATGAGTCATACATTTATATAATGCACTTAGTTGTGCTTTGAGAGTGGTATTTAATTGACACGAGGGGTCCACGAAAAGAATTTCAAGTAATATGCGAAATTTGGTTATTAAACATAGAAATGAAAAAAAACCTTATGGTAAAAGTATCAAAATTAGTAAATTTGACTCGATCAACAGTTCAGACGATAATAAAAAATTATAAAAATAGTGGTTCTATTGAAAATAAGCCTCGCAGTGGCCGCTCAAGGATACTCATACGTAGGGATGTCAGCTTGGTTTTAAAAGAAGTTAACAAAAATCCGAAAGTAAGTGCCTTAAAATTAGTCGAACACATTGCTAATGCAACTGGAAAGCATGTCAATCCACGTCAAAGCTATTTTTCCTACTTCAGTTGCAGCTACGGCTCCCCAAACCATAGCACTGCCACCACCATGCTTTACAGTTGGCATTATATGTTTCGGGTTCAGTGCTGTTTTCGCTTTCCTCCAAACTTTAGCTTTCCCATCGCTTTCAAATATATTGAATTTGGATTCATCAGTAAATAAAACTTGCTCCCCGAAATCAAAATTCTTTTCTTTATATTGTTTGGCAAACTCCAAGCGCAGCTTTCGGTTTTTTTCAGAAATTAAAGGTTCTTTGCGTGGTATTTTATCATGAAAACCGTGGCTGTTCAACGTTCTTTGTACTATACGTGGATTGACATGCTTTCCAGTTGCATTAGCAATGTGTTCGACTAATTTTAAGGCACTTACTTTCGGATTTTTGTTAACTTCTTTTAAAACCAAGCTGACATCCCTACGTATGAGTATCCTTGGGCGGCCACTGCGAGGCTTATTTTCAATAGAACCACTATTTTTATAATTTTTTATTATCGTCTGAATTGTTGATCGAGTCAAATTTACTAATTTTGATACTTTTACCATAAGGTTTTTTTTCATTTCTATGTTTAATAACCAAATTTCGCATATTACTTGAAATTCTTTTCGTGGACCCCTCGTGTCAATTAAATACCACTCTCAAAGCACAACTAAGTGCATTATATAAATGTATGACTCATGCCACAAGCATGAAATATGAAAAACGGTACTTTCCCGTTTAACATTTAAATTACTGTCGACTATATCTAACAACCAATGAAGTGTATGTAGACTTTTGTCAATGATTTTTTTAGGTTTTTTTCGAATAACTTTGTTAATTTATATTGATGAATGGATTTTCTTTTGTTTATTATTAATAAAAAACAGTTCTAAACAAAACTGTATCATTACTTTTTTCTACTATGTCCTTGGATTTACGAGCTAGCAAAAATGGGGGGTGTATGTAGAGTTTTGTCGCTGACTGTATATTAATGCAATGCAATATGTAAAAAAGCGTAATTGTTTTATTTATATAAAATTCAAAAACAACAAAAATAATTTTATTAAAATTTCCAGTTTGAAAAATTTTAATAGTTTCATTAATTGTCATAAATCAATACAAGTTTTAACAGAGTTGTTTTATTGATGGTTTCATTGTTTGTATGGCACATTTTACCGTTCATAATTTATCTTGTTGATTTAAACTCAAAGACCTAAAGTGGGGCCGGTCTGTTCAGAGAAGAATTGTATTAATGGTAATTTTAGCAAAATTTAGAATGAAGTTTTTGGTTTGATTATTATTTACATTCAAAACAACTTATTTATCTGAATGTGGTAAATTACTAATAATTGCAGGTTATGTCAAGGTTTAAGGTTCAATTGCTTGTTTAGTTTTATTCCTTAATATATCATGAAATTTTTGTTAAGTAATACACAAAAAAAAATAGTTAACATCAACTGTAAAAGAACTGTTAGTTTATTTATGCAGGCACCTAAGAAATACAAAATATTCATATAAATAACTATTTTATATCTAATGTCAAAGCATAACTTATTGTAACGGAAACCCTACTTTTTTTACAACTTAATACTTATTATTAGCTTCATCATTAAAATTAGTTTATAAGTACTGCTTGTAATTACAGTAATAGATTGTTGCAAATAAACCATATGTCACAATACAGTGTACACACTATTAGTAGTGTTATCAATGTTATAAACTACAATTTTTTAGCTATTAGTTATCTTTACACACTTTGAAAAGCACAGCGTTTTGACAGCTCTTACTTCGCGCTATCAACATGTACAGATAAAAGCAATTAAAGAAATAAACTTTTTTGACAATTCCGTTTTATGTTATTTTCGTGTTCTAATCCTTTTTTCCAAAAGAAATAAATAATATTTTATAAAAATAATGTGATGCTAAATTATTAAAAATATGTTTAGTTGATTGAAAAAACCGACAGGTGAAACAGATAATACTAAAGAAGTTCGAAAAATATTTTGGATGTCTAAATACTATTATTAAAATGGAGAAGATTTTTGTTTTGTAACAATAATTAATCTACAAATTTTAAAGAAAACAGTACATTTTAATAGTGTACCTTTTATAAGTTCAAAATGAAGCAGTCAATTCGGCATTTGTTAATAATATCTAAGAAGTTCTAATATTTAACTGGTTAATATTGGGGAAAATAATTCAGACAACAAAAGAGCGAGCAAAACAAATATAAAAATGCCAAATTAAAAGTAAAGTTCTTATTATTTACTTATTAATACTTCGATGCGTGTTTGTCTAATGTGCAATAGTTTTTTAACATTGCTGCCATAAAAATATTTATAAACTTTATGTAAGTATATGAATTTTTTCGTGCTTAGAAAACCACATAAGCATAAGCCACAACACATACCACAACAATAACCCCCATCCCGTACATCATAATTCTCCAATAAAAATATTGTATATGTGTATAAGATTGTTTTATATTGTTAATATATTTTTGTTTATACATATATAAATTTTTGTTTATACATATATTTTTTGCATTGTAATAAATTGCATTCAATGTGAAATTAACTTACGTATGTTTCCCTGTTATTTGGAATAAACTTTATTATCACGCTATGAAAATAGATATGTTTAAAGTTTTTTTGCTAATATAGTTCTTTTAAAAATATGTATATATATATTAAATGAATAAAATTGAAAGCAAAGAGTTTAAATCGACCCATAAAAATCTTCCAATAAATCAAAGTTTCATTAGATCCAGTATTTATATATGACATATGTAGAGACCTACGCTTACAAATAATAATGCCAAGACTTAATAACAAAACAATATATATTATCTTAATAAAACTATACTAATATGAAAATTATATATTTTATTACCCAATTATAGTTATCATTATCTTAATCATTTACTAAAGTAATTTAATCGTACATTAAATATATATGTCACATATTCATATGTATGAATTGTGCTATAATAAATTTGTATCAATTACGATGCAGACGCCTTCACTTTACTCACACATATAGATAGTGCTAACTATCTAAATGAAACTAAATGAAATATTGTATATCCATTAAAATAAACAAACGTATAAGTGCCAGCTTACAGCACCCAAACATTGAATATGAAAACTGCCAACAGAATTTTCAAAACACTCTGTCGAAAAGCTCTGTAAAAACCTACCTCGATATAATTTAATATTTCTCCTGAACTTACTCCTATAAAGCATTTTCTATAAAGCATTTGCTGAGTTTCCGTATGCCAAAAAACTTCTCGCCTTCTTTACTTACAAAGATCAAGCGTAACTAGTGCTCTTTTAACTGAATCATTTCGCCATAGAAACCGACAACCCTTATGTTTTTATATTTTTTCTAATCTTTCGCCTGTACTTAATTAAATGCAGGTCTTTTTTATATCTTATATTTATTGAAATTACACAGGCATTAGAATTTCATTAGGGAATCGAGCGGTGATTGACTATAGTAACTCCAATATATAAATTCGACGTGTCTTGTAATAAAAGATATTTTTCACTAAAAACCTTTTTCAGCAATCATTTTGAAAAATTGTTAAACGTTGTTAACCATCTATTGCTTTGTGGGCTAGATTAGGTTGGAGTGGCGACCTACACCCCAAAGCCCACATAAGCACAAATAACGATTTGTTATGATACACCGGATAGGTTGGTCTGACTGCACTTGAATTTTATAGACAACACATTGATAAGATATTTTTATTTACTTTTATTATTTTTGATTTTTATTCTATTATCTTGACATACATAAACTGTAATATATGATATTTTATATCGGTTAGTGGGTTAACAATAAATATCATTTTAATTTTATCAAATGTTTAATTTTTTTGTAGTTGTTCACTTTAATTTTTAAAATACTGAAAGTTTAATAATTTAAATTATTACTATGAGAATTAAGCTAATAATTCCACCTCAAAGATACTCTAGTAATCTGGAAGTAGGTTTAAAAACATGATATTTATTCGTTGGTAGAAAATGCCGTTATCAGTCCATTTGCCATCTTGAAACCATCTGTGAAGTAATCAAAAGTGTTCTTGGAGAATAAATCTTCATATTATCCTTACTCTACAAGGGTTAGTCGGTGTTTTATCTTCAATGTTTTTATAAAAAACCTTTCGTTCTTCCACTGAAAGGATTAGTTGAAGTTACACTTTGAATGTTGTTATACTAAACTTTTGCATTATTCTTCCTTTACGAGGGTTACATCGAAGTTACATCTTGAATACAGTTAAACTTGAATTTAACGTTATCTTTTTTCTACTTGTGGAAGTCAAAGTTTGATCTTCAATGTTATTATACTAAACCTTCATTTTATCGTTTTTCTACAAGGGTTAGTCAGAGAGTGATCTTCAATGTTGTTATGCTAAACCTTCAAATTATGTTTTCTTTGCAAGGGTCAGTCGCAGAATCATCCTGAGTGTTGTTTTACGAAGCCTTCACATTATCCTTTCTTTGCAAGGGTCAACCGGAGAATTATCTTGGGTGTTGTTATACTAAACCTTCACATTATCCTTCCTCTACCAAAGTTAGTCGAAGTTTCATATCGGATGTTGTTATACTAAACCATCACGTTATCTTTTGTCGGCAACGGTTAGTTCAAATTTCATCTTGGATGTTGTTATACTCAACCATCACGTTATCTTTTGTTAGTCGATGTTCATGTTATATTTCCTCTACGTCGGAGGGTTTTGTCGGAGCATTACTTCGGATTTTGTTATGACGTACATGTAATTTGTTCGTAGTAGTTGGTTTTAAAAAACTTTACTGTCCTTGTAGCTCAGTGTGGTTAAGTAATTAATTTGTATGGCACATAACACATGTTAACAGTTGTCATCCTCCTCTGCCATCCTCTTCTACCAATACAGTTTAATCTCTCACACAGTCAAGATTGGTATAATCAGTGATTTTGAAACAAAGCACTTACATTATCTGGAGAACTTTTTACCGTCTTTAAAATAATTTTTTCCACACTATTTAATACTCGCTTTTTGAAGTTCTTTTCACAAAATATAAAACCTATTTTTTTTTCATTCCCTTTTATTTTCCTTATCAATAATTGCACTTGGTCTTCTCGCCTATGTAATCTTTATCATGCGTTCCATTTTGAAATTTCCATGCAATTTGTCAAACATTATGTGTTGTTTTTGTATTGCACAAGAAAACTTTCAAAGCTTGTTGTTGGGTTTTGGTGTTGTTGTAGTTGTTGTTGTTGTAAGTTTAGCTATGTGCAAATATGCATTGCTCGACTCGTACTTTTATAACTTTTATTAATAATTAAATTGATCGTAACTTATTTGCGTACTAAGCTTTCACGGCTCACCTCCCCCTCGGGGATTTTCCTCCCATGTTATTATACCGTTTGTTTACTTAATTCTAATCAATGCGAAAGCTTTTATTCAGTTTTTGTTTTGTGTACTGCAGTAATTGTTGCATTTCGAGTTCTTTAAAAACTGCATATCACGTTGTTTCCGTGAGCGACGTACGAAGAGCAGCTGTTAATCCAGATTTTATTGGCTCTCCAACAGGGAAATCAGATGTTTCAAAGTCAAAAGGCCATGGCCAAGTCTTAAGCTCAAGAACTGCAAGAACTAACTCTTCAACACGCAAATAACAACAACAATACTACACTACACTACAAAAAATTATTAAATATGAAGTGTTAATGTGTTCCCACAAATATCAATAAACAATAACAATAACAATAACAATTGTTAATATAATTAATATAAATAAATGAATACTTTGATTGAACTGTTTAAGTGTTTTTAAATGAGGAATGAATTACGTGCAAATACTTAAAAGCTCAATTTGAATACGGTGTTATATAACTGGTAGTGTACACTGCAAAAATAATATAATTCCGTTCCTTGTGTATATAGAACCCCCGTACTTTGTGCTCAGTTAAGAGTCAGTATTGAAAACATAAATTATTAATAATTCTTTATATCGGTTCCAAGTTAATAGCTCGAGTCCACTTCTAACATATTTAAATAATTTTTACTTATCTTTCAATAAAATTATTAACCATATATTAATATATTTATACTTATAGGTCTGTGAGTTCGTATTTGCAATAAATGAAAAAATCACTAAATATGTCGGATGGTTTAAGTGTGCTGCAAATAAAGCAGGAGGTTGATACATCTTCCACATCTGGCAATACGGCATATTGCTGCAGTCCCACAACCTCAACAAACATTGGCGTCAATCGCTCGAATTCATATTCGAATGGTACCAACACAAGCAGCAGTAGTTGTGGGGGCTTGGGCAATACTTCTACTTCCAACTCAACAAGCTATAACAGTGTTAGTAAATCGTCGCCTTCCGTATCGCCAGAACGACAAATGTGTAGTTCCACAACAACACTAACCAATGATTTGCACAACGTCTGCCTGAAGAACGAAAACAGTGCCAATACAAACGGTAGCACAACTGGCGGAGGCAACAGCAGTGGTTCCATAAGAGATGAACTGAGGCGTTTGTGTTTGGTTTGTGGAGATGTAGCCTCTGGTTTTCATTATGGCGTTGCCAGTTGTGAGGCGTGTAAAGCCTTTTTTAAACGCACCATACAAGGCAATATTGAATATACTTGTCCTGCCAACAATGAATGCGAAATAAATAAGCGTCGCCGTAAAGCATGCCAGGCCTGTCGTTTTCAGAAATGTTTGCTCATGGGCATGTTAAAGGTTTGTACTCATGGGCATTGTAACTCGAATAGCTTGGCATAGCTTGGAAATCTTATAATGTTTATTTTTTTCAGGAAGGAGTACGGTTAGATCGTGTACGCGGTGGAAGACAGAAATATCGTCGCAATCCTGTTTCGAATTCATATCAAACCATGCAATTACAATATCAATCGGGCACTACTTCATTAGAAGACGTTAAAATATTGGAAGTGTTGAATTCATATGAGCCTGATACATTAACAGTGCAGCAACAACCGCATACCACAACCTCCGATGAGAATAGCAGCTCACAAATTAAAATAGAGTTGAATAACAGCAATGCCTCAACAGCAAGCACACCTCCAATTGGCACATGCATTTTTCAGAATAACAATAACGACCCACAAGAGATTCTCTGCGTTCTCAGTGATATTTACGATAAAGAATTGGTAGGTGTCATTGGTTGGGCCAAGCAGTTACCTGGTTTTACAGATCTTCCACTTAACGACCAAATGAAATTATTACAAGTTTCTTGGGCTGAAATTTTAACGTTGCAACTTACGTTTCGTTCATTGCCATTCAATGGTAAACTCTGTTTCGCCACAGACGTTTGGATGGATGAACTGCTAGCTAAAGAATGTGGCTATTCCGAATTTTATTATCACTGTGTACAAATCGCTCAACGTTTGGAACGTATTTCACCTCGAAGAGAAGAATATTACCTGCTGAAAGCGTTACTGCTTTCCAATTGTGATATATTGCTTGACGACCAAAGCTCATTGCGTTTATTTCGCGACACCATTTTGAGTTCTCTGAATGATGTAGTATTTCTCTTACGACACACTGCTGCTGTATCGCATCAACAACAATTACTGCTAATATTGCCATCATTTCGTCAGGCTGACGGCATTTTAAGGCGATTCTGGCGTAATGTAAGCCATGAGGGCACAATCAATCTCAAGAAGCTCTTTCAAGAAATGCTTGAACCTGTTTCGAGGTGAGAACGCATTTTATTAAAAAGCAAATAAGTCTCTGCTTTCTTGACTTCTGTACTTTCTGTTAAGCAATACTGTAGTTTTAATTTAGTCTATAAACTAAGGTGCAAAGTTAATTATTATGTATTTATGTTATGAGTTTTGGTGTAACACAATAATATATTAAACGATAATATAACATACCTCGAGATTAATATAGAGAAAGGTTCTAAGCAAAAACACACTGTGTAGAAGTGTAGAATGAAGTATCATATATATTTGTACAGTATCAGAAAACTACTTCAACAAAGATTAATAAGTCTTCATACATATACTTATATACATTATATACTCGTATGTATACTCATTTCAAATGAACAAAAAAGATAATTAATTTGTTTAACTTTTTTTACATTGTGAAATTGTACTACTTACTACCTTTAGCTTTTCTTTTGGTAACTGTTTTTCATCAAACACTTTCTTCTTAAACTGTAAGATTAATTGATTAATTTTCTTTTAAAAACAACAGAATGTATAATATATTTATGCGTATATATTATAAAATATTGTAATATTAAATAATTGTAGACAGTAAAAATTACTTCAAAATACTTGCTAGAATTGGCAAAACTAAAAATACCTCATCCTAGGAAAGGACGAAAAATTCATGTTACTAAACAAAGACCTAAACATTTATATATTAGCATTACTGTAACTTAAATTAGATTTAAGATTATATTAGAGAACCACTGTTTGTTTGTAATAAAATTCGTGAAAATTGAAAATAAATATTTAGATTGTGGTTAAAGGTTCATTTAATTTTTAAAATAGAACATGTCTATATATACAACGTGAGACATTTAAATAAATCAATATAATCACAGTTTTCGAGAGAAAAGTTCTTCGTAAGATCTTTGGTCCTCTACGAGTTGGCGATGACTACCGCATGTGAATGAAGCACGAACTGTACGAGCTTTATCACGACATTGATATGTCTGATATAATTCTGTGAATCAACATCCAGCAGTTTCGCTGGCGCAGAGATAAACCGTGTATCCGGTGGAGTGATCAAGTTGAGAGAGCACTAACCGGGCTTGATGTACTGGAGAAGGAGAAGACTGGAGAAGGCACGCACGCAGCAGAGGCACCTGTAAAGATATATTGCGTCAGCTTCTGTTCTCCTTGAATCATATGACTAAAAAATCCACATATACATATGCTCTATTTGAATGCGAATTTGCATCAGGTTCTTGTAGAACAAAAGACCTATTAAGATTTCATTGAGAGCCTATTATTTATCTATGACATGTGATGAAGGAAGGAAGGAAGTTTTGAATCGAAGATAATACAACAATAATACAAAAAGAGTTTCCTTTAACATCAGTTAAAGGAAATATTAGTGGAAACTGTGTTGTTGTTGTGATAACCCGAGGAGACATACATAGCAGATAACAAGAAAGGTATTACACAGAAGTACACATGGGTTTAATATTGTTGGGTAAATGAAGTGTTAAAGGAAAAGGAATTGTTTAAAAAACGAAACTGGATTAAGGATGAGTGAGATTTTAATTGAAGCTAACTTAAATGAAGATAATCATTCTCATAAAGGATTATACCACTAGTAAACAGAAGATTCCAAAAGGTTTCTACATGAGCATAGAGTCATAATCATATTTAAAGATGGTTTGGGTATAATATATGTATATATACATACATATCCCTCCCATCCTTACAATTTAGATATATTGTTGATCAAAGTTTAGTTTAAATTGATTTAATGATTTGTTAATCCACCTTGAACTTATCTTTTATAATTGATTAAATGATTATTTCTGTTTTGAAATTAGCAAATAATGATTCTGTGTGTGTGAGCTTTGTCTAGATATATTCTAGCAGTACTTGAATAGATCTTTTGCGATAACAACTTGCCGTAACCGAACAGAAGATATTCAACCTTATGAAAGAAGCTCTATCTATAGACTATCTTTTATAATTGATTAAATGATTATTTCTGTTTTGAAATTAGCAAATAATGATTCTGAGCTTTGTCTAGATATATTCTAGCAGTACTTGAATAGATCTTTTGCGGTAACAACTGACCGTAACCGAACAGAAGATATTCAACCTTATGAAAGAAGCTCAGAATGTGTTTCGGGGAAAATTTAAATATATCAGACATGAGTTGAGGATCCAGTCCAAACAGTAACTGAAAAGCCATCTGTTTATAAGCATATCATCCCATACAGATCTATCACGTTAAGTTACTAACAACTTCCGCTCTGTTATAAATTCCTAGGAACCACTTTTTTTTTGTAGTTATAAAGAGTTATGGCTCTTTAGTCTGGCGGTTACTTGAAGTATCCCGTCAGTCGCTTTATCAGTCAAAAACTTTATTATGAACTAAGTAATTCCACAATAAGACTTCGGTGCACTGCTGTTGCGGTTCTTATAAGACTATCCGTGAAATTAATACCATCGATTGCAGTTTTAAAAGCAAAACAGAGACTATAGCTTATAATAAAAATTAATTTAATTTTGTTTTATTTTAAGAAATTTAAATACATTTACAAAATTTTTAAAAAATTTTTTTTTTTTGCGAGAAATAACTTATGATTACAATGTCGTTTTTATAGTTTTATAGAATTGAAAAAAGCATAGAACGAACTGTTAAATATTTCTTAAACGCTAATGAAGTGCTCAATTTGTAAATTTTATAATAAATAATAAAAACAATTGATTTAGACTTATTTATATAAAAACATAAAGAAAATCCTCCTTCAAGTACAAATTATCAATGCAATAAAAATTAGCCTATAAGCATTGTGAAATAAAACAGAAAAACAATAGATTAGGTGATATAGGTTTAAATAAAAAAATAAATAAAAATATTTAATGAATTTTAAAGCAATTATTTTATAAAAAAAAATTAAATCACAAATATTCCTGCGATAGAATATGAGTTACTGTTTTAAATAAATTATCTGTACAATCCACGTACTATTATATTCAATACTTCTAAACTCTAGCGAAACTACATAAGTAAAACTAGCACATCTAATTACTTTATATTCATATATGAAGAATAGAAAAAATGAAATAAAATAAAAGTAATTGTTTTTCAAATCATTTTCTATATACATTACATTACAATATTTACAGACTAGATAAATTTTAATAAGTTTCTACATAAATTTGTATAAAAAAATTATTTCCTAATTACTAACCAATTTTGTGTATAAAAAATTTCTAAGTAGATTGCTTCTAAACATTACCAGGGTTAAATATATATCTACTCTGACTACGTAATATATCTGGTGATTCAAAATATTTCTTTGAATTCTCTTGAAATCGATCCGATCTCTCCAATTCGTTTCGAAAATAATTTATAGTTTTAAGCAGTCCAGATTTCAATGGTACTTTCGGTTCCCAGTTCAGATAACGTTTGGCCCGTGTAATATCTGGTTTACGACGTTGTGGATCATCTTCCACTGCTTCAGATTGTTTTATCTCACTTTTTCCACCAACCAATTGCCTGATTATCACAGCGAATTCTTCAATGGTGTGTTCTACAGGATTGCCCAAATTAATGGGCTGTGTATAATTGGAAGCCATCAGTGCTATAAGGCCATCCACCAAATCTGTAACATATTGAAATGATCGCGTTTGCTTGCCATTGCCATAAACTGTAATTGTTTCATTTCGCAAAGCTTGCAGTATAAAATTGGAAACCACTCGTCCATCATTCATATGCATACGTGGTCCATATGTGTTGAAGATACGCGCCACGCGCACTTGTACCTTTTCCTTTTTAAATAAATCAAAAATACAAAAAAGAAAAAATTAAATGATTAAAATCGTTAATTGATATGTTTTTCATTCATTTTTTTTTTATTTTATTTTTTTATTTTAAATTTTTTGTTAAATTATCAATCATCAGTTGACAACAGAAAATTGTGTCGTTAAAAAAAAAATAACAAAAGTACAAAATTGGGCTCGTCTAATTTATCATAACTTCCGTAAATAGAAATTCTGTGGATTGCCAATTTTTATTATGTTACTGCTACACTTTTAATCTTATCTCCAGAACACAAATCATTAACCTTTTAATTTAAAATTTTATCGATTGACGAAGGAGAAGAACAACTTCTTTTTTATCAACAATCAATCATATATGAGACAAATAATTTATTCGAAAAGTTCTTAGCCTATAAATAAATGCGATCAAAATTGTTAATTAAAGATATAGAGAAGATGTCACAAACGCTGTTAGATTTACTTTAATTTTAATAATAATTAATCCTCGAACCTGCCAGATGAACATTTGAAAATTCATAAGGAATTCATATGGGTTAATCTATTTGCGGTCCTATGCTTCTCGCAGAAGTTAAAAGATTCAATGTATATATATAATATATTTAATTAATAAAAATTATATTTGTGAAATAGAATATATAGAAGAATTCCACTATTAATTTAAAATTAAATGATAAATAATTATTCTCTCCTAATTCAATTGGCTCTGCACACCACAGGTATTCAATACTCCTTGCTACAGAGTTATTTGTTTGGGTGATATACCACCGAATAGCTGCAATTAAACGGAGATGAATGATTAATTTGACCTGAAGACTGACCAATTTAAAAGCTTTATAAAAATAATAATAACTCTTGTTGATGTCAACTGGTTGTATTCATTATTCTAACACATATTCTATTACTTCTTCTAACGTAGCATCCTTTTAACTCACCTGCTTTGCATAAGCGTAACTTAATGTTTCAGATACACGTTTGCCTTCATCATAGCAAGCACGTGGCCCAATTGGATTGACATGACCCCAATAAGTTTCTGATTGAGGATGTTCGGTTGGATCACCATAAACTTCAGAAGTACTAGCTATTAAAACTTTAGCCATAACACGCTTGGCTAATCCCAACACATTGATGGTTCCCATCGTATTTGTTTTAATTGTTTTCACAGGATTGTACATGTAGTGTGGTGGTGAAGCTGGTGAGGCTAAGTGATAAATTTCATCTACTTCAATAAATAATGGATTAACAATGTCGTGATGAATTAATTCAAAGTTTTCATGACCCAACCAATGTTCCACATTTCGCTTACGACCAGTGAAGAAATTATCCACCACAATAACTTCGTGGCCTTGTATCATAAGCGTGTCTACCAAATGTGAGCCAACAAAACCCGCGCCCCCAGTGATGAGTATACGTTTACGATTCTTATAATTCAAATATTTAACTTTTTGATATTTTCGTGGTGAGGTAGCCTCCAAGGTGCGTATTTTTTCTTCCATTCTTGACAACTGTTCCTGTGCTTTTTGTAATTCGATACGCTGTTGACGTAGTAATTTTTGTTGATTTTCATATATCGCATGTAAGTCGTTTTGTAAATCGGTGGGACTATTAAGTTGCTGTGAAACTTCATAATTGTCATTGTATTCTTTGTTTCTCGCTGAAAGTGGAAATGTTTGCGCTAGTGATGATGTTAACACAAGTGTTTTATAAAAATAAACAAGTATTAATAGCACTACTAAAGCAATTACACACAGCTTTATTCTTTTTTTGGTAAGTGCTGTTGTCATCATGAAAATGCTTCCCGTAACATTTGGTATGATAAGATAGTTCACTGCAGGTACTACAAAGTGAAAAACCAACAAAATAGTTTAGATTTATTTTATATTTTTTAATGCACAACTATTTACCAGAATTACGAAATGTTATTGTTGATAAAATATCTCCCCTTCACGGGTCAAAAGCCGGTTAATACTGAACTATTAAATTTTCAACTTACACCAAACCAAAAGATGATACAAAAACAAACATATAAAAATAAAAATTGATAATAAAACAGCTGATTTAAAGCAGATGATTGAAAAGGCAGTAGCGGCACAAATATTTTCTAATGCTAGCAAAAATAAGTGCGAACCAGGTGTGTTGAGTTCGTTTTTGGTTTACGATCTACAAAGAAAATGGGCGTCGTATCTTCAGCTATGAAAGATTTTTGTTTACATGCAAACGAAAAAACAATATAATATACAAAAATCAATCATTTGGTGAATAATGCTATTATAAACTATATATATAAAAATTACTAAAACGATATATAAAACTATAAATAGAATAATTGATTTTTTGGCTTTAAATCATTTAAGTAAAATTATAAGATCATTAAGGTTTCAATTTGTAAGTAAATTAAGTAAATTTGTAAGTAATTTGTTGCAAATTACTTATGTTATTTGTTACTCACCGGCTATATTTTTTAAATCAGTTTTTTCAAACATTTATGTATAAAATTTTATAAGAACTGATTTTATGCAATTATTTTATATTGACACTGCATGATAAATCAAGTAATTTAATTCAATATCGAATTTTTTTTAAGTGGTATTTTTAAAAATCTCGTATACAAAGTTTCTTTCGATTAAATCTGTGAACAATTAATGCTTTTCCCCTGAAAAATATTCGACATATTTTAAACCATATAATTATCCATTAATTGAGAATGATATCTTAAAACATTCTAATACAGAGTCAAGATTTACAAGTGTTAAAAATCACGAACAATTTTAAGCAAAAATAAATTTTAAGAGATAAAATATATAAAATAAAGATAGTGCAAAAATAATATATACTTAATATTACATCGTATATAGTATTATATAATAATAAAAAAACTTTTATTTATTTAATTTCATTATATTTTACTCTTAAAATTAATATCAGTAATTATGATCTGCTAAATTTGAAGTAAAAATATATTATTTGATATCACTTATGAGTATTATCTATTATACGAATACTAAATCGTATCAACAGCAATATAAGTGTCATCATCTATAGCAATATTATAAGCTTCTCCAAAATACTTTTCTACAAAATAATATACTTCGTATATTATCAATATCTTCAGATACATTTAACAAAATCTGAATATTCACTAAATATGTGTTACAAACTCAAAGTTTTGCATACACTTTTAGGAAATATTTATCTTCTGCATATAACTAATAATGTAAATACTTCATAAAGTAATTGAAATGATGTCAACTTTGAATACAGTTGCATTTAAAATTTTTAACATCTTACGAAAGTTGATTATATGTTACTTATTACTTTACTTTATATGTTACTTGTTAGGGCCATGTTATGCAGAGTGTCTCGGGCACGGCATGAGTACAATTGTTGTTGTTTTCAATGCAAATTTTAAATTTGAGAATGAGAGAAAAAACAATATGGCCGTTCAAACACCGGCATGAGAGCCGGCGTATTTGTGCCCCGGCACTAAGGCAAAACAGTGTTGTTTAGTAATAAATTTCAAAATTTGCGCCTTTTAGGAGCAAACTACTACAATTCTAGTACGTTTTGGAGAAAAGATGGCGGTAAGCAACACAGCATTTTTTTTATAAATCTCTAATAATATAATTATTACATTTCCCGATTTTAAAGAAACGCGTAAGTACTATTAACAATTATTATAAGATAATATAATAATAAATTAACATTTTATTACAGCCTCTATGAGTTTTTTCATGCGAGTTATTTTTGGTGGCAAATTGAAAGTGAGCATATCTAAATTCCCTTTTAAATTTAGGCACAACCAAGAAGTAGTAAAAATACAAAATTGGCAATACTGATGTGACACTCTGCATAACATGCATTTTCGGCATAGCCCGAAAGAGCGTAATTTGCCGTGCCCGAGACACTCTGCATAACATGGCCCTTAGGGCCATGTTATGCAGAGTGTCTCGGGCACGGCATGAGTACAATTGTTGTTGTTTTCAATGCAAATTTTAAATTTGAGAATGAGAGAAAAAACAATATGGCCGTTCAAACACCGGCATGAGAGCCGGCGTATTTGTGCCCCGGCACTAAGGCAAAACAGTGTTGTTTAGTAATAAATTTCAAAATTTGCGCCTTTTAGGAGCAAACTACTACAATTCTAGTACGTTTTGGAGAAAAGATGGCGGTAAGCAACACAGCATTTTTTTTATAAATCTCTAATAATATAATTATTACATTTCCCGATTTTAAAGAAACGCGTAAGTACTATTAACAATTATTATAAGATAATATAATAATAAATTAACATTTTATTACAGCCTCTATGAGTTTTTTCATGCGAGTTATTTTTGGTGGCAAATTGAAAGTGAGCATATCTAAATTCCCTTTTAAATTTAGGCACAACCAAGAAGTAGTAAAAATACAAAATTGGCAATACTGATGTGACACTCTGCATAACATGCATTTTCGGCATAGCCCGAAAGAGCGTAATTTGCCGTGCCCGAGACACTCTGCATAACATGGCCCTTACTTATTATTGTTGTTTTTAAAATTTAAGCAATTGAATATGGAATATATACACTAAATATAAAACAGAAGTTTGAATAAAATAGTTTGAGTTTGAGAGTACTCCGCAATCATTTTAATTATGACAAAGAAAAGAATAGAAAGTTAATGCAAAACAAGAAACGTCAGTATAGCTGTCAACACAAAATATGAAATCTTAAAAAATTATGATATTGCGTGATTTGCATTTTTCGATAGAGAACAAACATTACTATATTATATTGTTTCCGTGGGTCATATGATATTGTGCCACATTATTAAGCCACTAAAGTCACGCCTTTAACTCTCCTTAAAACAATAATTACAAGTATTATTTTTGTGAAATAGCTTTCGCTCACAGATATGTTCATTAAATGCATTTCTTTGAAATGTACGATATTGACATTCAATAAGAAAAAAATATTTGTTGCTTTTTTAACTGCTATTTCATAATTTTATTCATTATGCAAATATTTTAGGCATACAAATTTAATTTTCTTTAAAAAGTCTTGAAATTCATAGTAATAGCTAAATTTTTAATGTTCTTTTGTGATGTCTACTTTCAATTTATATATTGTATAATCAATTTATTTACCATTAATATTATAATCAAAATTTGTGTTGCTACAAAAGACAACATACTTACCTAAGTATATTTTAATCTTCACCACATTCAATTCAATAGCGTGAATGCAACCGTGTAAAATATTAGTCGGGCGGTGATTTGTTATAATTGCTTGACAGCTTTGTGACAGCGTAACAGCCAGTGCAAATTTTTCCAGATAGTGAAAGAGTGGCACATTTTATTAATATTGTGAGAATATTTTTGAAACAAATGAAATAATATATTAAAATTATATTGTAAACTACGCATTAAATAAAACGTATTCTACCATCAAAATGCCAAAGCAAACATCAGAAAATTGCGATAGAAGTTCAGACGACGTGCAAGGTGGGGAGTTGTCACCGGTTGAAGATAATCAGGTAGCAGCCGATAATGTAGACGAAAAAGTGGATGACGATGATGTGAAAAAACAAGAGGAAGCAAGAACTATTGCTGGACTAGCGTCAGATTTAAGTAAGTTGTTATTGTAGAACTAGATGCTTTATAAAAACATCTGTGTTTTTCTAAGTAACTAAAACATATTTTTTGGAAATAAAATCCTTCACTTCATATCTACTTCATATTAAAAAACAATTTCATAACATTAGTATAAAGCTTGGGTCATCATTTTATGCTCGCGTGCCGTTCTTTGTCAAAAAGTTTTAATATGACTTTAAGGGTGGGTGTAACTACTAAACTCCCATCCCTTGAACAACGAAAAACTTTTTGTTACAAAACTGTCGATGCATACTTTCATAAAAAATGAAAGACAATTTATAAATATTGATTTTATAATTATTTAAATTGAAAGTGCAAACATATATATATTGATTTTGTGGTTTATAGATCTATTGAACCGAAGAAATTTATTACAAGCAGTATCAGAAGCAGTATCGGGCAATCGAGTTAGCAAGCAGTTTGCATTTTGGTCCACGCAGCCTGTGCCAAAACTAAATGAAGACATAACTACAAATGAGTGCATTGAACCAGATAAAGACATTTCAGACATTAAGCCAGATCCATACACACTCCCTGATGGTTTTAAATGGGATACATTGGACTTGACAAGCTCAGCGGATCTTATTGAGTTATATACTTTATTAAATGAGAACTATGTTGAAGATGATGATGCGATGTTTCGTTTTGATTACCAGCCAGAATTTCTTAAGTGGTCGTTACAACCTCCAGGTTGGAAACGTGACTGGCATGTTGGCGTACGCGTAGTAAAATCGGGGCGTTTAGTTGGGTTTATATCTGCAATACCGAGTAAATTACGTGCATACGAAAAAATACTAAAAATAGTAGAAATAAATTTCCTTTGTGTGCACAAAAAGCTACGAAGTAAACGAGTAGCTCCAGTACTAATTCGTGAAATAACTCGTCGTGTTAATTTAACTGGAATTTTTCAAGCTGCTTACACTGCAGGTGTAGTTTTACCAAAACCAGTATCTACATGTCGTTATTGGCATCGTTCCTTAAACCCAAAAAAACTAGTTGAGGTATATTTATTATTACTATACTAAAAAACATTGTTTTTCTAATCGAAACACATTTTCATTTAGGTGAAATTTTCACATTTGGCTCGTAATATGACTATGCAACGAACTATTAAACTTTATAAATTACCGGATAGACCTAAAACGAAAGGTTATCGTCGTATCGAATCTAAAGACATGGATAAAGCACACAAACTGCTCAATGAGTATCTTAAGAAGTATTCATTATGTCCTGTATTTTCTAAAGAGGAGTTTCGTCATTGGTTTACACCTAGAGATGGCATAATTGACTGTTTCATTGTTGAAAATGAAAACGGGGATATCACTGATATGGCTAGCTATTATTGCCTGCCTTCATCTGTAATGCACCATCCAGTGCACAAGACTATAAGAGCAGCTTATTCTTTTTATAATGTTTCGACTGCTACTCCCTGGTTGGAGCTTATGAATGATGCTTTGATATCTGCACGAAGTATAAGTATGGATGTTTTTAATGCATTAGATTTGATGGAAAACAAGCTATTTTTAACGCCACTAAAGTTTGGCACCGGTGATGGCAACTTGCAATATTATTTGTATAATTGGAGATGTCCAGCAATGAAACCAGAAGATATTGCTTTGATTTTGATGTAGAAAGCTATTAAATCGTATTCAAGCACATATTTTGTTGTACCTCTTAGTAAGCAAATGAATTAATTCGTTTAAATAAAATGCTTTAAATAACTTTTTTAATCTGTAATACGAGAATTGTAAGTTGAATATGCATAGTTTTTTTAAATTCTATTATATATATAATAAATAAAACTTTCTATTTAAAATACTTCAAAGTTGTTTTTTTACAGGTTTTTACAGATTGTAGAGGTTTTAGAAATAAAGATTTCATAAGGTTTCGATTTCTATTTTGTTTAGAATGTTCCATAAAAATAATAATATACATATTTAATATGAACTAAATATTTACAATACGTCTAATGAAAGGACGATGTCATATAATTGGAAAAACATTAAATATTTTTATAAATTAAGTAAATAAAAATATTGAATCGTTTATTGCTGATTCATTACTCTTACTATTTATAATTGAAATATATTTACTTAGGAAAACAGCTTTAATGAAATTACAGTTCTAAATACGGAAAAGATTCGGTTGTTGTTGGAACTCGTGTCATTTCACCTCTCATACACTTTCTTTAGTTCTTTTAAATGGTGAAAAACCAATGGGGTTTTGTTGTTATTGTAGCCTTAACTAGAAAACGAAACCTGTAAGGCAGGAAACAATAAAGGGTTCCAAGATCAACCGGATCCAAGTCCCAGAACCACTCGTAGAGTTCGTCGGCCAAGAGCCATACACCAAATTCAAAAAAGACTACACAAACAGATCCTTGAGAGCGTTACAACAACAACAATAAGGTACAAATGGCTAATAACTACAAATACTATAGAAGTAATTTTCATTTAAAATGTTTAGTTTTTATTGTTTACTTATGTATAGCAAAGAATTGTTATAGATCACATAACATGCACCAAGTATGATTAATTTTAAGGCGTGCCTTTTTAACAAGAAAATAAAAAGATAATCTTTGAGCGTTACTCAACATATTGTTGACTATAGTGAGAACAGCTCTCTGTACTGACTGAAAAACAGACATTATAAATATAATAATTATATTTTTTGCTCATGGCTCCTACAAAACTATCATAATAGTAATAAAATTGTCATAACAGGTCATATTTGTTTAAAATTCCAAATAAATGGTTCATGTATGTACATATACAGTAAACAAACACACCATGGCATGGTAATTCTGATCGTTTCGCTAAATAAAATAAGTCAGCATTCTCCGATTACTTCTATTAATAGGCAATTGAAAATATACAACTTATGCTTAGATATTTATTTATTGGTACTCATATGTAGTAGATAGTTTTTCAAGCATTTTCATTACAAAAAATGACTCACTCGCTTTTACGTTGAACCTCGGAGATTTGCCGTAAAACTGTATCTTCCTCTGAAGGACGATTGAGGGAAAACGATGTATGACAGAAGAAAAATACTTTAGCAGAAAGTATTTGTAGGATGATAAAGTATATATATACGAAAATAAACCACAAATTAGTTTACAACAAATTTGGTAGAAATTGATTTATACGTAAAAATGATAAAAATATTCAATAATAAATTAACATTGAACCATCAAAATTTCTAAATGCATTTAAGTACAAAAACATATTAGTTTTAATAAAATTGTAATTGTAATGTCGGTAATGGACTAAAATATTTAAATAAATTTTTTTTTAAATTTTAAGAAAAATTTTTATTATTCTTTTTTGGTTAACATTATCTTTGAATATCTGTCCATTATAATGTCTGATTACATAAAAGCACTAAATATATTAGCTGTGAAATGAAAGGATAGTTAATGAATTTAAAGCTTTAAAAGTTAAACTATTTAAATAAACTATTTTTATAATCTGAATAATATTTAAATTAAATTTTTGTTTGTTGACCTTTCTTTTTAGCCTCTACCCTAAGGTTAATGACATCCACATTGAATCAATGATGAATTTAAATTGAAATTGTTCATTGGCACTGTATTGCAGTTTATGAGTGCATCCACAAAGAACTTTCTCGAATATCACCAAATAAGTTACTAACAATTTGTATATAACTACTTAACATATTATTTATCAACCAATATTGCGTATAAAAAGAATGGTTTTTTTAATCTTTTGTTAAAATAGTTTAATATAGAAAATTATGAATAACATATACCAGACATCTGCAACGCTCTTGCAATTTGAATATAGGAGACTAATAAAGTCGTATTAGTGTCCCCTTATTTTGTTTGTTTATGTTTATATTCATTTTTTTTACCTAAAGATGGCGCAAATATTTTTTGCGCGCATTTTTTGACGTTACATTTTATTGAAAATATCGTTTTTAGACACAACTTTTGGTGCACTTAGTTCTTGTTTTATATTTTATATAAGTAGTTTAAATATGAATGAGCCTGAATTTAAGAAAAAATATCAAAAATATAAAATGCGTGTAAAAGTTTGGGAAAAGGATTTTCGAAAAAAACATGGCAGAATTCCATCGAAGGTATGTGGTAATGTGGTTTAGCGATTTATAAATAATATAAATTTTTTTTTTGTAGTATGATATACAAGAAGCACCTAGAGAAATTCGAGATTCCTATAAAATGTACTATAAACTGAAAACTTCATTTCTTGAAGACACTCTTAGTGATGTATTCACAGAGGATGGATTTGATGTGTTGGAAATATCGCAAACAGAAGAAAATAGTTTTGGTGATTTTAACGACGAAGAATTTATAAACACCGCACCAAATTTATCTGCGAGTATAAGTAAATTAGTAGATAATATTGGTAATGATACTGCATCCTTTACCAATTTACAAGAGCTACCAACACCAAACGCCATATCGAATGTAGTTAATGTAAACGAGAATCATGTTATTAAAAATTTTGAGGCTGTTGAAGAGCTCGATATTAATAAAAAAGCTTGGGGAAGAAATGTTAGTTCTACACCAAATGCTACTGCTACCAAATCGGAAAGTAAATCTTTTAAACCAAACTTGAATATGAAGCTTTTTAGTTCAAGTTCCTTTTCAAAACGAAACCCCCGCAAATCTCTCAATCGTTCAAATTTGGATACATCACTACGTTCAACTCAAAGCAATATTAGTACACCTAGCGGTCACAAACATATAGATTTGCCCGATTTGGAGACTATACTGCTGAAAAAGGCTCACGAGCAACAAGCAACTGTAGTTTCCAGTAACCAATTACTATTGTGTAAGTTAAACTATTAACGATTATTCCAAGTTATTTTATAATATTTCTAACATTTATAGCTGCCAAATCGAAAGACGCCATAAAGACTCATGTCGACGAAGGTTGGCTGCAGAGGAATTCAGCATTTATTAATACCAAATCTGAAAATGTTAACTTAAAGACTGACCAAAAAGATTTAGTTTTAAATACAACTAAGGAGAAACGTCATTATGGTTTATCAAATATAAATGTTTCAAATATTATCCAAAGCGATAAAAGCATAAATTCCTTAGAAATTTCAAACTTGAAAAAAGAGGATTCACAAATTGGAAGCACTGCTGTCGAACCTGCATTTAAAATTGTTAAACAAATGAAAACAACAGTTAAAAGCGATTCTGATTCTGTAGTTTCTGATAGTGGAGAGGAAACCGTATCACAAGAAATAAGACACATTGTAAAACGTCGCAAAATAGACCCTTCACAAGAGCAGAACATTAAAGCTTTTAAAAATCTAACAAACATATCAACAAATAAAAATAAAAATGCTGAATCAACAGAAAAAGTAAATAATTTAACTGAATGTGATGTTCCGGCAGATGATAATAAAGATGCACCTATGAAAAGTAGAATTGCAACAACAAAACGTGCAAAAAAAGTTAACAAAAATGCACAGCGAAACAGCTCACTGAATACATCAACCACAAATGACGAATCAGCAAACGATGACATAAGTACAGACCAGCAAGTACTAAGGAAAAAAAGAGCAACTACTGGGACTACATATACTAAGAATGTCCAAAATAATTCCGATACTGAGGCGAATAAGAATCGACTAAACACTTCCACTGAGTACGATTTTACAGATGACGACAAAGATGCTGACTATCAAGCACCAAAAGCCAATAGAAAAACTATTGCAGCTAAACGCACCAAAAAACCGAAAAATTCTACTGAACCAAAGGATAAAAAGATTCGTGCTTCCAAAAACAAAAAGGAAAAAACAACTGTAAAAAGAGACCGTAAGTCGATGAAAGCAAATACAAATGAGTTGGAAGCTCGCGAAACGGAAGAACAAGAGGAACAACCATTAAATCCTGACGACTTAAAATATGCACTTGCTTTGGAAAATAGTTCTATTACATCTATGCCACGCATTAAAATATCGGAATTGGATGCAGCGGACAACGTAGCGCAAAATTATATAAATACCTTTGAACATATAGCGAGTTCATCAAGAGCCGAACAAAGACCTATTGTAGATGAGAAACGTGAGGCTGCACGTAAAAAGCTGGAAGCTAAAATTGCGAGTGGAAAACTTAATGAGAATTTCGTTTCAATAAATATACAAAAGAAAACATTTGTTCGTGGCAAGAAAAATATAAACTATTCGAAATATAAAAAGAAAATGTGGAAGCATAAGAAACGAATTTCTGCGCTAACTGGTCCAGATATGGATATGGGTGGTTGTGATGGAGGTGTACTTACGTGCTTTACTTGTGGACAAACTGGCCATTTTGCACAGAATTGTAAAATAAAGTGTGACGGGTTGTTACCATTGTCAGCGCAAATAGAAGAAGATCCTTCCCCGTTTCCGACAATGGAGGAAGTAGAACATATGGCATCACAAAAAGCTATATCCGTACATAGCAGAAATATATCAAAATTACCTGCATCTAGTAATGCCGCTATATACCGAAATAAGAGTGAAGATCAAGAGGAGAATAATGCTGAAGATTTTTCGGAAAGTGATACGAACAAAGAGTGTGAAAATAGCATTGAAACAGATGAAGAATTAGAGAGTTTAGATTTACAAGATATATTAGCTGGTACGAGCGAAAAAGAACATAATAATCCAGAACAAATTTCTCCAATTAAGAAGTATGTTGGACACAAAATTCCTGAAGATTTTCTTGAAAAAGCTGGACTAATTAAAAATACAGAAAGTTCAAATTCTGTAGGTGCTTTATATGACTTAAATTCAGATGGAACTGTAAAAGACGTAACCCCTGAAGTAATAGAAGCTTTACATTTGTTTGGACACACTAATTTTCGAAAAGGTAACCAATTTGATCTCATTTATCAGTAACACAGCTAGTAAAATACATTTTAAAATTGTTTATATTAAAATTTTGTGTAGGTCAGGATCGCGCAATTATGCGTATTCTATCTGGACTCTCTACACTGGTTACACTCAGTACAGGTAGTGGAAAATCATTGTGTTATCAACTGCCCGCTTATTTGTATAGTCGACAAAAGAAATCTATTACTTTGGTTATATCACCTTTGGTATCGCTTATGGAAGATCAAGTCACAGGAGTGCCACATTTTTTACGCGCTCATTGCCTTCACACCAACCAAACCCCGCAACAACGTCTCAAGGTATTGCAGATGATAAGCAATGGGGAAATTGATATATTGCTGGTATCGCCAGAAGCAGTTGTTGCTGGTGAACGTTCCACTGGTTTTGGCTCTATTTTAAGACAACTGCCTCCGATAGCTTTTGCATGTATTGATGAAGTTCACTGTGTCTCGCAATGGAGTCATAATTTTCGACCAAGCTATTTAATGGTTTGTAAAGTTCTAAAGAATAATTTGGGTATTAAAACAGTGCTTGGCTTAACTGCAACTGCAACCAAAACGGCGCGCATGAGCATAATCGATCATTTGGGCATACCGGATCCTGAGTTTGGTATCATAAGTGACATACCACTACCAGATAACTTAGTGTTATCTGCATCAAAAGATGAAAACAAAGATAATGCATTACTTTATTTATTGAATAGCAAAAGGTGAGTTTAGATTGTGACCGGTTAATATTCTCGATAATCCATTTTATAATTTATTGTTTAGATTTGATCAGTGTCAATCCATTATTATCTACTGTACGAGACGTGATGAATGCGAACGTATTGCTGGATTTCTGAGAACTGTTATGCAGGCAAGTTTCTAAATTTTAATAAAAGTGCCAGGATTAATGCTATCTTAATAATTAATACTAATTTTCGCTTATAATTTTACTAATTGTTATCACTTCATTGGCAAGTTTTTGATAAAGTCTGCAGAATGACGTTGTAATCTTATGTATTGATTCTATCTTTCCATGTAGAACTTATTTTATTAATTTAATACAAAATGTCTAAAGGGAATATGTAACAATGTCCGTTTATTTATAATTTGTATATTTTAATTAGCTTTTCAATGTTCTCTTTCATGGCATAATCGGTACACTGGGTCGCTTAGATGATGCCATTGCCACGTTAGTCTTTGTTAAGTAAAACTGCTATGTTCTTTTGAGAGTGTGACCTGTTTGCGTTTCTGAATTTCTTCTAATGCTTTTGTATGTTTTAGTCCACAAATCGATATAAACTATATTCCTGTGGTGCTTTTCCATGTTTTATTTGCATAAAATAGAATGCAAATAAAAGCTAGAGTATTTGCCTTTGTGCTGATATAGAATATGCAATATTTTGTAGAATTGTATATATGACCGTAATTCCATATCTTAATAAATGAAAGCACCTGCAGCCATATTGATTTTGACAATCACATCATTCTGTACACCACTTTTGTTTGAATGTTATTGTTAGCACGCATTGTGGTTGTTGTCATAAAGCAGATGGATCTGCTTGTGCAGTCTGCTTTGGATATGGTAAACGGCATTTGGTTGCTGAACTCAACGAATCGCTCCAAGACGTAGAACGGTTTCTAGTCTAGTCGCATGACGGAAAGAGATACTTTTTGCTTACTAATTTCTAGACCGGCTTGTAAAAAATTTACATACAATGAATTGAGGCTACTCTGGAGGCTTATAAAGAATTTACATACAATGAATTTAGGCTACTCTGGAGGCTGACGTCCTCTAGTTTGTCTCTCTATTTTTAAACCCCTACTGACATTGACTATATTTGTAACATTATTGTTCTGAATTATAGGACCGTAAAGATGAACCAGAAAAAACAAGTAAAAATAAGAGGAAACGAGTGAATTGGCAAGCTGAACCGTATCATGCTGGCATGCCAGCATCCAGGCGTCGCACTATACAAAATGCTTTTATGAGCAATGAACTTAGAATTGTAGTAGCTACTATAGCTTTCGGAATGGGTATTAATAAGCCCGATATTCGTGCAGTGATACATTACAATATGCCGAGAAATTTCGAAAGCTACGTTCAAGAAATTGGTCGCGCTGGACGCGATGGTAAAATATCACATTGTCACCTATTTCTGGATTCTAAGGGTAACGATCAAAATGAATTACGTCGCCATATATATGCAAACTCCATAGATCGTCATGTTATAAGAAAATTATTGCAAAAAGTTTTTGTGCCTTGCGCTTGCGATAAAAATAATAAAAGGCAAGTATGCTTAAACCATATCATCTTTGTTCTCCGCTTAAATTATTATATATGACTAGATCGATTTCTTTGGCAAATGACCAGCGTATTTGTCAGGGACATGAAATTGGATTTGCTACGGAGAGCACAGTTGAAACGTTAGATATACCAGAAGAAAACATATCTACGTTATTATGTTATTTGGAATTGGATACGAGATGGAATATAAATGTGCTGAGCTCAGCTTATGTTATGGCTAAAGTAATTTCTTATGGTGGCGCGAAATATTTAAAGTAAACTTACTAGATTACTCAAAAAAAAGTGACTGTAATTAATTATTTTTTAATAGGTATGCAGCTAAAGAATGCCCACCACTTGCAATGGCCATTGCTTTAAAGATAAAGAATAAAACTTTCAAAGAAGATGAGAACATAATTAACTTTTCTGTTGTAGATATTGCTGCTGCTATTGGTTGGAATAGCGGTGTCGTGAAGTATCAGCTGAAAAACTTGGAATGGATACAAGGTTATCTTTAGCAGTTCTATAATTAATAATTTTATATTAATAGTTATGTATTTTTATTATATTCACTATTAGTAAATGGCAGATCAACGCGTTCTTCCATTAGTGTAAGTTTCTACGATCTAGGATTTCGCATTAAAGCACCAGGAGATTTTACATCTGAAGAAATCGATGACGCTTTGGATACGCTTTATAATCGTGCAGTCCAACAGGAGAAAACACAATTAATACAAGTATAATAATTTGAAGAAGCTTACATTTTAATCTGGCTGTTTATATCTCTTTTTCGCAACAGTTGCAATATGTATTCCATGGCTTGTCATCGGTATCCTATAATAGTTATGGACCTTGCGCATCAGAGAACTTTAAGCATGATCGTTCGGATCAATTGAAGGCAATTATACGCGAATATTTCCGCAATGATTATCCAAAAGATTTAAAATTAGAAACAGAGGTCGGTTTTTTATTACTTCAGAAAAGTTTGTTTTATTTAATAAAATTTTTTATTTTCAAACAGCCAAACTCTGAGCCCGATGATTACATTATAGGTGATATTAATGCGATTATCAATATGTATCCGGATAATGCTTTTAGTGGACGTAACATTGCACGCATATTTCATGGCATAGCTAGTCCAAATTATCCAGCTGTGATTTGGGGACGTTGCAAGTATTGGCGGGCTCATTCAAATAGCAACTTTAACAAAATTGTTCAATTAGCTAACGCGGTTATTGTTAAACGTCGTACTTGATATTATGTTATATTTATTTATGTTATAGAAAAATGTTGTAAAATGATAATACAATTGTTGAATATTTATATTTTTAAAAATGAGATAATATTAAAATTGATAATTAAAAAAAATAATGGTTTATTGTTGGTAAAGAATAATATTTTAAAGAATGGTTAATAGATGTCAGTATTAAAGATACTGGATAAAATTATTAAGATGGTCTTTAAGATATACTTAGGATTGGTGGCCCATTGTGTTACCCTTATACAATATGTTTTAGTAATAACTACTTCTGCTCTTGTTGCCCTGTGCTCCTCTTAGTTAAAGGTCTCCATACGACCTCGTGACTTGGGTCTTATGGAGACGATCAATTTATCATCGATTACAACATTTATTATTGCTTTTAATGTAAGTCAAAAAAGTTGAAAACAGCAACAAATATAATGACCAACGATTATTTGATTGTCTGCAGAGAAACCATATTACGTAGATGATCAATATTGTACTTATGCTGAACATTTTTTAAGTTAAATGCGTTAATGTAAACTTATATCATGTTTACATTACAAACTTTAATGGTTGAAGTCAACTTTGAGCTTAAAACTAATTACTAAAGCTGACTTCGTCATATAAAAATAGACACAACCAAAAAGTCTGACTTTTATTAAAAGTTAGTTTCATTTAATATAGTTAGTGATGTATTCTTAACTACGCCGGTAAAAATAATGCATTATTGTTAAGCATTGGGTTTAAATATGTCGAAATGAGATATTGTGTTAATTTTTGATGGGACATTCGTTTACAAAGTAAACAAATATACCAAAACTTTTAACTAACCATATATAAACGGACTCCAAATGCTTGGAGTCTACAGTTCGTATGCAAACATCTTATTACAGTACGTTTCCACTGCTTGCTTAGTAAGCTTAACTTACTAAGTTAATGTCATTGACCATACAAAGAATTTCCGTGCTTTTTTCACTTACTTTAAAATATAGTAAACAAAATTCGACCAAAATTATAACAAAATTTGTAATAAAATAAAATGTTATTAGTATTAGGGAAAAACAAAAGAATTGGAAATATGTGGACTGAGGGCGGCGACAAAAAAAACAGAAAAAAAAATGGAAAAAAACAGGGTTTATGAAAAGATGGTAGAGAGAGTTGATAGACTACTAATCAATTTTGAAGATGGAACGAGAATATTCACACGAAAGGGCCGCAACGAACGTGACGAGTCAATATATTTTTAAATTTTTAATTTTTTGTTTATTATCAATATTGTTGTAGAGTATTTTATTTTTAATTTTTTTTATATATTTATTTTTTTATTAATGTAGTGAATTTTATTTTTAATTTATAAGTTATTAGTATTATTATTATTATTAGTTCAAATAAAACTTACTAAAAATGAAATAATTCATATTTTTTTATAAATCATTGGACGTACTTTTCTATATGCAACAACTGTTCCATTCATGTTATGAACAATATAATATATATTATGCATCAAATTATTTACATGCGTGTTTTATGTTGAATTATTTTCTTCTGATAATACAAAATTTAATGTCAGCTGTTCACAATTAAAATGTAAACAAAGAAAAGCTCTTCAACTAGAAATTTTTGACACATAAAAGCTCTTTTCCATTCCTTAAGTAACAACAAAAAGCTCAATGTTTCTAAGTAAGTAAGAAACGTAGTATTAAATTTTAATAATATTATAATATTATACTATTAATATCTTCTAGATTCTATCATCGATTATAATGTGAAATTAGGTATGTTCCACTTTGAGTAACACTGTGTATATATAAGTGCGTTTCACTAGCAAATTTTCGAGTAAATGAGAGCATCTGAGAGAACGTAACATCCTTGTTGAAATTTGAAAATTCTGCACATATTTTACTCGAATCAGCTGTTTTGGTTTGATTATAAATTTTTGTATCGTTTATTTGCACGGCACTAGTATTCTCACCAGTCTTTACACAAAGCTGTTCCATGAAAATCTGTGTAAAGAGCGTAATTTGGCACTTAATTTGTGTTACGCTCTCAGTTTGTACTTTACGTGTGTTTTACTTGAATTTTACTACAAATAGCTCGTGGAACAGACCTATTATAATTTCTTTTAATATTTATCGATTATTGCACACAGTACCCAAAATTTTTTTGTATTTTTCATATGCTGGTCACTCTAAAATCCAAAGTCCATATGTCACAGTTGACATTCGTTGTCAAAAAATGAGGTGTAAATACAAACCAAAGAATTTTCATTTTTCATTCAGAAAGCAGTCGTGGTAAGAGAAACTAAGGACGGGAGTTTTTGATTTAAAAATTAGTAAATACAATATAATATGGAATATATACAAATTTTAGCGAAATTTTTGTGAAATATAATTAAATGTATATTACGTAAAAGTGATGTGTATGTTTCATAACGTATAATTTCCGTATACGGTTAAAAAGTGAATTTTTATTAAATTATAAAGTAAATATAAAAAAAATATTGTGTTCAAAGAAAAAAAAGCGATTTTAAATTTTTTGTTCATCTTTGTCTTGAATTCCTATTGACAAAGCCATTTTGTGTGCATTTGGTTTTGGCTTCTTTTTCTATTTACATTTCCGTTTGGAGGATAAAACTGATAAACTGCCCCAACGGTAAGGTGGCAGCGCAGAGTGTGCATTAAAAACAACTTTTATATATTAAGCAATTTCCTTAATAATTACTTAGCTCTTTAATTGATTTGTTTATATATTTTTGCTTACTGATTTCATATGAATTTTAAATATATTTATCTTTTCGTTCGTTGGTGATGAATCAGTTTGTGTTCTTTTTGTTTTAACATTTTGCACTCGCAACCAAAGAAACATCAACTTTTCAAACAACCTGCCCTCCCCTCAACCTCAACCTCAACGACGCTGCGTTGTTTGGGTTTTGTCAGAGTTCTGCCGTCAACACGTTAAAATTCCACCGGTGTACTTCACGTTCGTCTTGCAAACCACCACAAAGCTTAACGCTAACGCGATCGTCAAGCTGAAGCGGAAAAATTATTATTTGTGAATATTTAAAGGCAAAATTTTACGTGCACTTAAAATTCAACTCCGAATAAAAGCAACACTTCGAGGAAATTGGGAAAATAACAAAATTGGTAAGTGTTGTGAAATATCGAATAATATATAAACAATAGAATAAGGGACAAACTATTTTAATTCAATTTAAATAAAAATGCGAATCTGCCGTTTGAGAATTGTTGTCTGAGCACGTCTGCAAAAGTGTGATAATTGAGTGACTAATCACATTGAAATCGGTAATGATGACATTTTCATTAAAACTCAATAATCACTGGATCATTAGAACTTATTTTGATTGAAGCTAATAGTGTTATTATATGCTTTATCAGGTATTATTCTTCATTGCATAAAAATAATTCTTCTTCATTTTATGGGCACGTCTGCAAAAGAGTGATAATTGAGTGACTAATCACATTCAAATCGGTAATGATGACATCTTCATTAAAACTCAATAATCACTGGATCATTAGAACTTATTTTGATTGAAGCTAATAGCTTTATTATATGCTTTATCAGGTATTATTCTTCATTGCATTAGAAGAATTCTTCTTCTTCTTATGGGTACATCTGCAAAAGTGTGATAATTGAAGGACTAATCACATTGAAATCGGTAATGATGACATCTTCTTTAAAACTCAATAATCTGTAGATCATTAGAACTTATTTTGATTGAAGCTAATAGTGTTATTATATGCTTCATCAGGTATTACTCTTCATAGCATAAAAAGAATTCTTCTTCTTTTTATGGGCACGTCTGCAAAAGTGTGATAATGGAGTGACTAATCACATTAAAATCGGTAATGATGACATCTTCATTAAAATTCAATAATCTGTGGATCATTAGAACTTATTTTGATTGAAGCTAATAGTGTTATTATATGCTTTATCAGGTATTATTCTTCATTGCATTAGAAGAATTCTTCTTCTTTTTATGGGCACGTCTGCAAAAGTGTGATAATTGAGTGACTAATCACATTGAAATCGGTAATGATGACATCTTCATTAAAATTCAATAATCATTGGATCATTAGAACTTATTTTATCAGGTATTATTCAAGCGCTGACGACTACTGCGTTCAAATGCAACCTATGTGCACATGTTTTCTATTCTTTAATAGCTTGGATCTTGAAAAAATAATTTTATTTCAAAGTTCACATAAAAAACCCTAATAATGTTTAATATGTTGAGCCTTTTCCTTGTTAGTGCATCTGGGCACTTTTACTCTTTGATAGCTGAAGGGTTTCTGCAAAGTCCCACCCATCTCAGTGACTGATTTGTGTATTCCTCATAAGCTTCGTGATTATTCAACGGCTGATCACAAAAACACGTGACTAAACAAGTCAAATGAGAATTAATAGTTAATTTGTGTAGTCTGAGCATGTTAATTTTCGACTTAATTATGAGATGAATTCTGTAGGCAAGCCGTGAATATAACAATAAAACAGTAATTATAAAAATTAAAAAGAACTTTTTTAATATTTTCCTAAAAACAGATGTTTAAACTTACGAAATTGGTCGACACGGTCTATTTTTTTTTAATTTCTAATTTAAAACTTCGTTAAAATTAAGAATTATTAGCTTCAATATTCCACATTAAGAAATTGTAAAGTTAAAATTAAATTTTTAATTAAAACACATTTTATTATTCAAAAAAACTTCAAAAAGTTCATTAATTTATGTTTTCCCTTGAACTTTCGTAATGATTATTGTGGAAATTGTTTAATTACGTTTAATCGTTATAATATTTAATAATAATTTTTATATTTTCAGTCATATAAAGAAGTTTCATCAAAACTCGTTTCGCAGTTGCTTGTCATCCCTATATTTTAAATTGGTATTAAGTTTTGTTCAGAGAAGCACCCGTTTGCTGTTGTTGTAATCCCGCAGGGGTGTGTAAAGCAGATAGATTAGGTTAAGTTATACCGATGATCTAAAAGGATCCACTTAGGTCTATTGACTCAAGGTGTTACCTTAAAAGGAAAACCTTGGAGGTTTAACCTCTGACAAAGAATAAAATGCTATTTATTTGGAGGTCTTAGAATTGGTTAAGATCCGCAAAAAAGTGCGATTAGACCTATTGGCCCATTGTGTTACCATATAAGGGAAAACTCAGAGGTTCGAAAACCATATTGAACTTCTAACAAAACTCAAAGCTCCCATTATACTTAATCGGGGGTTTTGGAGTAGACCAAGATTCCCAAAAAGGAGGTCCCTAGAAGAGTCAAGCAGATAGTATAAAAGGAATTACAAGACGAATACATGGGTTAGGATGTAGATGGGTATTGGTTGTGTGTAAGGGCAGATAATTGTTTGGAAGTGGGATTGTGGAATGGGTTCAATTTTTATTGAAGTCAATAGGGTTCACAACAAAAATTTCTTTCGTTAAAACACATTTTAAACATTTTTAAATTTCTGTTAATATTGTTTATGTACATATTTTGGTAATATAAACACGGTTGCCACTTGAAAATTTTTTTCTGTACCAAAATTGGTTTAAAAAGGTACCAGTTCTGTAAAAAAAGGTCCAAAATTTTTCTATTGTCTTTTTATAAGAAAATACAATTTATATAAAATGTACAAAAAGTATAAAACAATACAATATCCACAATAAAGTTGGGTCGCCGAAAATGTACCATTTTTTGAACATTAGTACCAGAGTACCAAACGGAAAAAAAAAGTACCAATTTTGGTACTAAAGTACCATAAGTGGCAACCGTGAATATAAACAACTACGCAAAAATGTAAATCTGCAAGGAAACAGAATTTTCATACACGATATGTGAAACACCCAACAAAAAACCGCGTATCTATGAAAACCGTTTCTATCATCAAACACAAAACTTTTACCAAAACATATGTACCATTCTTGTCATAGCTTTAATAATTAATTAATTAATTGTAATTATTATATTAAGAATAGCGGTGTATTTTAAGAGTAAATGGTTTTGAAACGGCTTTATGCAGACTACATTGTTAAATAGTGGTCAGGTAATCAGACTAAAACACTATTTAAATATTCTGCTTACTTAACATAATGATGACATGAAATTTTTTGTCATCATAATGCAAGTATAGCAAAAACATATTTGACACTCATATAACACGGAACTTAACTTTGTATACAAGTTCAATAAACCACTTTCATGACTTTCAAGATGACATTATAGAAATTACATGTCGAATAGATGGGTTAGTATGTTGATGGGTAATGGTTGTGTGGGAGGGAATGGCATTATTAGGAAGTGAGATTGGATTTGGGATTGGGTGGGGTTTATCGAATATACATATATACGTATTTTAATATCTACAGGAAAGATTACTTTCCTTTATTTATTTTAAATTTCAAATGGATCACCAAGTTATTATTACTATTACGAGCATAGAGACTTCTAGAGACGTATGTATGCGTTGATATCAATGTAAATAAATTCAAAATTGACTAAAAATTAAATTTATTAAATTATAAATAGTTAAGATGATCTATAGATCAATAATTAAAATAAAGAAGAATTAAAAGGGTCGCTAACTGTTATGAAAAATTATTAATATATTTTTTGTTATGCAAAAGTGAAATACGGGGGTGGTTTGATAAGTCAGTGACTTTTTGAGTTTTCCGCGCAGTTACTCCAAATGCAACAGTGCTGCCGTCAGCTGTAATCTACCAGTGGGCAACTTCTTAATTTTGAGCAAGCTACTTCGTTCAGTTGGTGTTTGATAGTCGTTTAAAGCAGACAGTCTCGTGAAATTTTACGAAAATGGAAAAAAGCAAATTTCGCCATTTCTTTAGGTTTGGAAATCGAAAATAGTCGCAGGGGGCTAAATCTGGTGAATATGCTGGATGGGGTAGCCCAATTCGTAGATTTGGGATCGTAATGCTTAATCAGCACACGAAATTGTTGTCTGCTTTGAACGGCTATCAAACACCAACTGAACGACGTAGCTTGCTCAAAATTAGAAAGTTGCCTACTGAGAGATTACAGCTGACGGCAGCACTGTTGCATTTGGAGTAACTGCGCGGGAAATTCAAAAAGTCACTGACTTATCAAACCGCCCGCGTATTAATATTTCAATTAATTAAAAATGCTCACCGTAGCAATATTCCTTTTTAATGAATATGGATAAATACACTTTTTAATCGTAACTTTGCTTATTAGAAATTACAACGATGCGTTCTAAATGCGCCATTTGAGAAGATAAAGTATTGTTAGATAAAAAATGTTTACTATGCAAAATGCTGGTTACGATTTACGATTGAAACTGTGACTAACAATATTGAATATAAAATATATTTTTTTTTAAAAGAATAAAGAATACTTCCAACTCAAACAACTTTGTTTATAATTGTAAATGTGATTTATGGTGATATACAATATTTTGCAATACAGAATGTTTATTTTAAAGTAATTTAAACTGAAATTATTTTGTTAGCTAACATATAATATTGTATGCGTTTTTATCTACTCATATAAGGAAGCACCTAATCCATATGCAGCTCTGAAATTCCCTTATAAAAGCAACATCAAATATTTATTATTATTCCATATTTACAATAATGAATTAGTATCTGTTAAATTTTTTAAAAATAATTGATTTATAGAGTAACTATTTATGTTAAGGGAGTTTAAGCCAAAACGTTTTTCTTATTTTAATCTCTATTTAATCCTCTAACATACTTACCCTAATTAACTCCAATTATTTAGCTGAATAAAAATTATATTATGTACTATAAAACACATATCTTATCGTATGGGTGCTTGCCCTTGAAGATTAGATTGGTTGATAAAAGGTGAGATACCAATTTTCGTATCTTAGATAAAAGACTTTGGGTTTACATTATTTGATTGCAGTAAACATTGTATTTTAATTTAAAAAACTTTAGATTCTTTATCTTTTAACGCTCGTGATGCATAAGTAATGATTTTTATTAATGTTCAAATCAGAAATGAAATTTTCATATGAAATGTATATCGTCTCATTTTCTTTTTTCTTCAACTTATAGTAAAAGTTCTTCAGTTAAGCAGATAATCAACGTAATAAGTATTTTTATTCTTGTTCATATTCACATTCATAATCTTA